TAAGATTAAAATTATTCTCACATTAAAAAATCCATGCACTAAACAAGAATCTCTTCTGTTCCACCTGATCGGTACTGCCTCAATATGCAGTGCTGGACCATGCTCTGGCAAAACTTCACCTATATACCAACCAACTTCATAGGGAGTTCATATGAAAAGTGTGTTAGCCTGGAACCTTAAGAGGAATTTTTTCCCCTCCCCTTATAAATACAGCTTGTTTCATTTCAGGGTGAAATTACAAATACAGAAATAACCTTTGAGCAAATTCAAAGTCAGGGTCGCTTTGGCTGAGTAATTCTGCCCAATGAAACAATCAATAAAATTACTGGTGTGCAAAAAGGCTTATGATGGGTTAACAAAAGACTACAACAACTTTGGATGAACATATACAACCTCAGATACAAAAGTGATTAAAAAAAAAAAGGTAATAATTCTGTAACTGCAGATGACAGCAGCATTACAGTCAATATTTAATCATGATATTGTGAGAATGTTCAGTAGTGGAAGACAGGATTAACATATTGCTTTAAAACATTCCATTACTTTCTGCATCTGTTTACTGATAATAAAAGAAACAGCTGTTCTAAATGTAACATTAACAGGTGTAAACTGTTCATTTGAGATTTTAAAACAATAATTCTCCTCCATTTCCTCCTTAGCTATTTTAAAATGACATTATGAACACTCCTCCTATTAGTTTACACAATTAACTCGTAATTGTTTAACCTCTTCACATGTCCGCAAAACGTATACATGTGGAGTTAGCTTCCTACTCATTTTGTGCAAAAGGCTCTGTTCTTCTGCACTGCACATCCTGAACTAATGCACCAGATGTGTCCCATAAAATGGTTGGTCACACTATTCAGCAGCTTTCCTTTAGCAACTGTTCTATATCAAATTTACTGTAAAAAAGCATTGTAATTACGAAGTAACACTGTATCAAATTCACAGACCCAATACCTCACTATGTTCAGTTAAACTATGAATGATAATTGAGCTTGAAATTGTATATTTACTTTAAATAAGTCCTCCAAATCATCTGCAACAATGTGTGCTTAATTCGAAGCCATTAACAAAAGATTTAACATTTCCACATTTATACTCTCCGTAATTTCAGATATGATACTCTGTACTTAGAGAGAGAGGAAAAAAAATAAAAGCTACTTCTGGTAGCTTTCCATTTGCAAAATTAAATGGATGTACCTTAAGGTTCTTAAAATTGCTAACCCAGCCGGTTAAATGCTGGGTACAAAAGAAAACAAAGCATTCAAGAATCCTTCAATATTGCTTTTGCAGCCAAAAAACTAATTCAGAATTATAAATTTAACAAAACCAAGCCCCTCTACCAAACCAATACTAGACCTACTTCACAGAAGATAAAACAAGTTCTGAAGACCAAATATTCTAACCCTTTCAAAAACCTAAAAAGTTGCTTTTTGATGCTTATTTTCATTAAAGTAATACCAATATGTAGGGAAAAAAACCCAAACAAACACACCAACCAACCCACAAATGAAACCACTTGCATAAATTGAGACTGAGGAATGGGTACTTGTATAACTGAGTAGAATGTTGCTTGGAAGTATTGATTCTAGTCCTAGACATTTTAAATATTCCATATTAGAATATGGAAAAACAGAAGAACTCATTTTAACAAATCACAAATTACATCAGATTTTACTGTTGCCAGTGACTGCTAAGTGCTCCTGAAGTAAGTTAAGCATTCCTCTGGTTTTGCTATTATTCTCTAAACTGCTACTATTCATACTAAAGGAAGAAAAAAATCCTCAAAAACACTCCAAATCCTTTCACAAATACACAGTTCTTGACTGAAAGGAAACAGGAACTTCATTATTGATTCCTAATACATTCAGAAAACAAACATGTAAAAAACACTACCTTCACTTCATGTTTATATTCATATTTATATGCAGAGAATTTTTTTTTTAATGAGATTTTCCTATCTTTAAAAACAAAATTGATATTCAGTGTTTTCCTCTTAAAATAATATGCAACTTTTCAGGATTTGAGGGAGGTGAACACCTGAGCTGCAAATACATCACCAGAACTGAACCCACCCAAACCAACTGTACAAGTGATCCTCTGAATAATGCAAAGCTATGTACCACCAGAAGGGCTTTTAAGTTTTATTATGAAATCACTCTTTACTATGGAAAGCTCCTGATTATCACTTCGGGAACCCTGCTACCTGCACTAGGCTAACATGCACACCATGCAAAGCATCATAAGCAATAACTCTTTGACCTGCTGGTGACTGAAGGAACGATGCTCGTTCGTGGTCAACCTCAGACCTGCCCACCCATCATTTAAAGTGGTCAAACTTGTACAACAACAAAATGCCAGCAGAGGGCAGTGCAAATACTAGAAGTCCCCCAAAATGCCCCAACCTGGCCACTCGTGGTGCAAACAGCCGCGTGGGTCCACAGTGAGGGGTACAACGATGTAGCAGTCTGCTTGCTCACTGCTGTGCCATGCACCTGCCAGGTCCTGCCCCCCTGCTTCTTCCTCTGAGGTAAGAGGTAAAGCACAACAATAACAAGCCTAGTCATTGTTAGAAAACACATTTTAGGTTTTCTTCTTCCTCTCAGACAGCCCATACAGCTGGGGACTGACTGACTATAAGGACAAGCAGCCTTCAGCTGCACTCAGGGTCTCGTGGGGCTCATTACTTAACGAAACACCTGAGCAGCACCAGGTGGTGATGCAACGGCAGTAAGTTGATGCACCTTCCTTTTCAAGAGCCATTGAACCAAGTGCACCATTTAACGTCTTTTAAACTTGTAAATCTAGGACTGGGGTACTTTTATTGTTTAAATAAGGAACAGAAAATGGATGCATCACCAGAAGCATCAGTAAGAGCATCTCTAGACACAGCAAGCAACATTTCCTTCTGTCCACACTGGATAAAGTGAGACCCACTCTACCAGAAGCCATCTCCCATCAAGAGCAACTCACAGTCTCAACTTGCACCCCCAAGTACCAGAGCAACTCACAGTCTCAACTTGCACCCCCAACCACGCTCACCAAGGTGGGGAGACACCCAGACTTACAGCTCTGAAGCTATGCTACAGCCCTCGCTGCTGACACCCAGCCACATGACAATCTCCAGTATCCCACAGAGACAGGAAACAAACTGTACATATGTGTACCTAAGGAAGAAATCCACAGCATCTCTCCAACATAAAGCACAGCAAACCTAGCCAGAGGGAAGGAAGGAAGAAAGGGAGTAGGGAAGACCCAGCTCCCAACTACCTAACGTGGTGCACCTGCACCCACAGCAATGCCTGACACTAATTTGTTGCCATAGCAAACCATGCCCACCTCGGCACCCGCGAATACCAATCTACCAATCATTTTTATCCTCAACCAAGGGCCTGAATACCTGCTTGTCCTCTGCAATGGTACTATTATATGAAAGCACTTGATGCTGACTCCAGTCTTATATAAGATATTAGCGTTTGCTCCAATATAATTAGGATACAGCTATTTTACCTTTTGGAAAAGAACTAGCAATTATTAATCTGATTAAATACTACACATAATATTCCCAACTGACTGAAATTGGTGCTAATGTTCATTTAAGTTCCAGCAAACTTAGTCTGGAGATAAAATTTCTATTCTCTGGCTTCCCTTTGGCTTTTCTCACTGTAATGGCTCCTCTCTAAACTCTCACAGTTTGTATCCAAACAAGAATAAAAATAAACAAACTGCAAGGCTGGGATCTTGTTTCCCCCTTGGAGCCAAGAGTCACGTCTCCTTCCTGTGTCTCCATCCACCTTCTCACTTCCATTCTAAAAATTCACATCTTCTGCACCGAGTGACATTTACAGCCAACAAGTGTCCAGTTTTCCAGTGACATTCTCATCTTGTGCCTTGCTCACCAGTTAAGTTTGGAAAGACATCCTGCTTGTGCCCTCTGATCATCCCTGCTCTTTATGAAAAGGATAAATTTACTTTAATGGCATAAAAAAAAAAAAATTACTTTTCAGTTTAGAATTTATACGTTGTCATGTATTGCTCTGATGCGATTTCTTAACTTAGTTCACCAGTTCAGCATTGTTTGATACAGAACAACAGATCAGCAGTTTACATTTTCAGATTGTATATTTGTTTGTCTGGTCTGATACTCCTGCCCACAAACTAGCTCGCACTCAGGTCTTTCAGCAACCTTCAACCTAGCAGCCACAGAAATGCTACAAAGCTAGATCATCCCACCACATTTTCATAGTACCAAGATTTGCAACAACAGAACAACTGGGGATGGACAGGAATTTTCAGGTGATCTTTCTTGAAACTTTGAAAACATGCTCTTTCAGAGACATTGCATCTGCTATGCACAGAAGGCAGAACGGGGTAGCCTTACAGAAGTAGGCTACTACTTCAAATAGAGGAGTAAACATTACATGCTGGTAGAAAGAGAATGAATGAGTTGACCAGAATCAGGAGCTCTCTATAAAGCAGGCCCTAGGTATGCCACATTGTCCTTGCATGAGGACAGTTTGTTTCCCACCCCCAAACAGTTAGTGTACAGCACTGCACCCACACACAGGTACTGGCATCTGCTTTCTGTGCTAACCTGTGCTCCTGTGACTCTGATCCTTTCAACTTCCAAGTTATTGATCAGTTTTTGCTGATTTAAAGTTTTAAGAGCAGACTATACTTTTAAGAATCACACTTTCCTAAGTGTGTAATAAAACTTTTTGGAGACTGGACACTAGGACTTCAATATTCATTTATGTTAGTGAATGTTTTCCAAACAGAAATACAAGATCATAAAAGTGTAACTGTAGTAACAGCATATGGCAATGCCACATTTAAATACCTACAGCTCTGGCATTCCTTTGAAAATTAACATCTCATGTCCTTAGTACAATAAACTTTGCCAGGCTGTGTTGAAAACAACTTCTAACCACCTCTAAAAAAATTTGACATATCGGTATTTTCTAAACCTGCAGCAAGTAAGAAAAGCATCAAACCAGTTGAGAACATTTCTTTAATAAATTCTTTTCAAAAAATAGTCATGAATTGTTTCTCTATAATATTTATTTCCAATCTTCAAGCAGCATTTGAATTTAAATTAAAAAAAGTCTCTAGGAGGTGAACATATGATAACGAAAAGTCATTATACAAAAGCTTTGCACAAAACATACTGAAATTACAGATCAAAATTAAGTAAGAGAAATATGATCCCAAACAAAATGTTCCATTTACTGAATAATTTCCGTGGAGTTGTGCTTGTCAACTTCTGGAATATCTGTCAAGTGATGAAAAAAAGGGCGACCATGAACACAGCCTTTATTTTCCTTTCCAAGCTGTTGCTTCATCCTGTAAATTGTGTTTTGTACATCTTCTTTTGACAAATGTAAGGGCAGCTGCCGAGCTAAACGTACTGCTTCTCCCTGTGGAAAGGAAAAACAAAAACAAACCCCCAATAGTTTTAAAGTACCACTTTTTAACACATTAAGGGGGCTACCAGAAAGCAGGAGTTAAGCACTTGACTGTTTAAAGGTTACTCTTTTCTGCTGATAAGTATTTTGAAATCCAGAAACCCAAATGTAACTCTTATCTTATTGGTCATTTCATAACACTTCTACAATAGTCACACACAGTCTCCTGGTCATGTTTGCACTCTTTTTCTTTTAAGGTCCACTTTTGAAGATGCTTTTTGTTTCTGATTATCTTATTTCCTATTGGCACCACTATCTGCTGAAGATGTTTACCAGTTCACAAGAAACATTCTAACCACAACCTTCAGAACTAACACAAAGTCAACAATCATCAAACCAAAGTTTTAAAAATACTATAGTGACATTTTAGATTAATGTTGTATTAACATTAACATTACAACCAGTTACCTCACAATACTAGAAAGCAGAAATAACTGCTAAACACAATTACTGAAGCACCCATCCTCAAAGAATCAAGCAACTTCAAAAAGAAGTTGTCAGGTTTTTTTGTTTCCTCCTCAAAGATGGCCTTGTCCTGCTGCTGGACTTCTCTTCTGTACTGTAGTAACATTGCCTAGACAGAAATGGATGTAGCATAGAATTTCCCTTCACACTGTATGAACCTGAAGTAGTGTTCATAAACGTTTTAATCTGAATCTTCTCATTCTGTGTGTCTGGGATTTTTTTCCCACTCTTCCAAGTGGAAAAGAGGTCACTGTGGACTCTCCCTAGGAAGGCTGCTTCTTTAATCATTACCCTATTCTTTCTTCTGGGTCTAGCAAAAGACCCAGACACATTTGTATTTGCATGTATATTTCTCTCTATATATAATCAGCTCCATCCCACTCAATCTGACTGTTGAGTACTTTTAAGTAGAGCAAATAAAGCTTCTGCTTCCAAACCAAGTTACAAAGCATTCCTGTCTCAACACTTAACTCATCCCTTCTTTAAGCTTCTTTCATGAGTACACAAGAATGGTTCAGTAGTACACAACAGAACACAACTCACTCCAAAGGCAGCTGTAAACTTACTGCTCCAAAAAGACAGGGAAAGATTTGTATAACAAATGTTCAAAAGATAAACCACATATTCTGTGTAAATGCCTAGGTCCCACTTTGAAGTAGCCCAATTCAGGAAAGCATGTTAGCAAATGCTTAAGGAGAGACTTAACATATATTTTGGTAACCTATTTGAACAGAGATCTTAAGAACTGGGATTAAATATAGCATTAGTGGAATATCTAGACAAGAAGTGATAGAAAACTACCATTGTTAGTTACTCCAGCTTTAACTTGTCCCATGTATATTAGTTGTCTCTCAATCATGTCCATTATTGTTTCTGGATGGACAATTTTTTTCTATTTGCATATCAAATATTAACAAGAGTCATTCCAGTTCCAACTGTTGCAAAAGTAACTTCTGTAGGAAAACAGATTAAAGACTCTTTTACTCAGGTACTGTATTTCTGGCAACCAATAATGCTGGCTGCCTGTGAAAAACACAATTTTCTCTCTGTCAGTGCGCTGCAGAACTTAGTCACTACTGCCTTGAACAGAGTGGACTTATAAGACTGTTGGTTGTCAGCATGTGCTTCCTTTAACTGCAGAAGTTATTGTTGTTAACTAAATACAAGCATTTGCAGAGGCATATGGGGTTCACCCTATGTGAGACTTCATTTTTTTACTTCAATGTCTTAATTCCAGTGACAGCTTGCTGTTCTGGCAAAAGTTTCCATTTGTCTATCTCTGAGCTTTCTTTGAATGAATCATAGGAATTTTTTTTCTTTAAGTGGAAATGGTATGCCTTCTGATTTACATGAGAATAAGCTTCAATTAATGCCTGTTTTTCATAACTATTACCTTAAATGATTTTATAGCTTCTTCATAGATTTATTTATAAAGGAGTTAAATCTTGATGAGTGCTCTGGATTTGACTGCCTTCTAGACTTTGTAAGGCAATTTTATGGCAGTTCTATATTCTAACATGGAGAAACGCCTTTCAAGTCTGAAAACTGCCTGTATAGAAACACTTTGTGAACATCAGCTTTCAGTATGTATTATATCACACTGGACAACTGGTTTTGGATACGTCTGATTGGAGTATTTTGGTAAGCAATGCAGAAACCACACATTTCAGAGAGGATACGACATTCTTCTCAAAAGAAACTTCTGTTTAGAACAGAACTACATTAATTAAAACAGAAGCTGAACAGAGATTTTCAAGCTGCTTAAGAATTTATTATAAGCTTAGCTGACAATACTTAAAAGCAAACTTCTGTCTTACCTCCAAATAATTGATTACTTTGAGAGGCCTACATTCAGATACTTCCTTTGCATCTTCATTAACTACTGCATTCAGAACTTCTTTCAAATCAGAAACACCATAATATGGCAGACAATTTGCCATTCCTTCTATTTCCATATGACTTTCTGTAGCTGAAGAACCTGAAAATACAAAAAAACCCCAGTAACTTATACACCGCTTTGATTTCTATTCTGGAGCAATTCAGAGAAAATTAAACATGTAAAATCACTTAAATTAGTCTCACAAATTCAATACAGTTAGGAAAGTTTTTTTTGCTCCTCCCTTGGAGTGAAAAGCATTTATTCATCCAATGTTTCATTATGATTATGTGTGCCTAGTCACATCACAAATGTCTCAGCTTATTTTAATTCAAATCTTAGCTGGCACAGTTTAAATGCTTAAAACATTTTGTACCATTCCCAGTCTTGAGCACAGCTTTAATTAAAGCTTCTGTGGCTTTAATCAAACATACATGAAATTAAAGTAGAAGTTAGTAATAAAATACAGTTTAGTTTGAAAAAAAAAAACCAGAGTGTTGGCACTATTTCCTATGTAATTGGTTTAAACATCTGTAGAGTTCAAATGTTAACATAACAAATTCAGCTTCTACTGAAATAAAAAGCAGTTTTTTCTCCTAACATGGCAAAGGAGGAACTCAAGCCCATATAACTAAGGGCTCTGTGACAGACTTCACACTGTCATTCATATGACACCACTGCTGCAGCAGGTACCACTTTGATAAGGAAGGACAAATAAAACATTTAAACAACCTTCCAAACAAATCCCTATTCAATCTTTGAGGTGTAAGAGATTTCACTTTTTATTCACACACACACTACTTTCAAAAAATTTGAATGAAGCTGCTACTGTACAGCTAACTTTTCTTCCACTGCTGGTCAGAAGCAAGCTCTCTAGGGGCCAGGCTCACATGTTCTTGTGCAGTCCTTCAGACCTGCTTCTCTCATTCATGTTGGACACACAGAAATCTCAGCCCAGCCTGCATGGTACCTTTAGTTCTTAGACTTGTAGTGGAGGAAAAGGGAAGAGCTTCACAAGGAGAGCATGGAAGAATGCAATTCATAATGAAAGTAAATCCGCTCTTGTGTAATAGCCCCAGGTAGGATAAATTACATTCAGCCTGAGCCATGGTTTCTGCAAAGTCCAAAAAGCTAGAGAGAAATAGATTGCTACAAAGTGGATTAAACTAACAAACTGTGATAAGGGATCATTCACTTTCCTAATCTAAACAACATGAAAGATTTCAGAAGTGAGAGGAAAATATATATGCAATATAAGTCACAACAATGTACTTTCATTTGCTAGTAGAATGAAACTGTTAACCATGACCAGGGATTGTTTATGTAACTGTCATTAAATAAAAGCACAGATGAACAGGACGACTGTGCAGGTTGAAAATTTTTCTAAATATGTGTGTGTCACCAGATGAATAATGCTGTTGGCCTTTTTAAGCTTCATGGCAAGAGATACTCTGACCAGAGTGGGAATTTGATATAGGGAACACCCCCTACCCCAAAAAGTCACATAACCTCCTTCAGCTACACATTTAACACTGCTCTAAATTTGAAACTTTATTTCCTTTTTCACACAGCATTGCCTTCCTTCTCTTTTTCAAGCTGTCTTTCCCTAATCATGGCCAGCAAAAACAGACATATTTTTTATGTACTGCTGTAAGCCTGTGATCAGATTCAGCTTAAAGCAGAATGTTAAACTATCTGAAAGTTCGCCAGTTATTAAAGGTGAGATAAGATGATGCACTATGCCAATATTTCCCCATGGGAAAGGCTGCCAGTAAGAGACAGGAGCAAAAGATGAAGTCTGGTTTTAATCTCCTTCAGCTCTTTTAATTTTTTTTCTCAATTCTGCTGTAATGAAAGACTAGATTTGAGTAACTGTTCCAGATAATTTGATTATGCTGCTTTCTCTCTAAAACTTAGTCTGTTTGACAACCTTTCGATAATTACCTCTCTATATGCTACCAAAAACAGGACACAAAATTTTGTTAAAGTTCCAAGTGTTAACATTTCCAACAAGTGTTAAAAAAACTTGTATTTCCAGTTCTATCCTCTTAAAATTTCATGGCAGTCAGATTCTGGATTTGCAAAATGTGTCTTTTTTTTTTTTTTTTTTTTTTTTTTTTCTCCCCCCAAATCCAGTAAACCAATCATACATGCTTGCTAATGAGACTGCTAATGCCTGAAACTCTTTGGTTTTACCAACAGCAATTTTCCTGTCTGCAAATTTTGACAGCCAAATTTGACTTCACCATACTGCTCGTTAATTTGAAAGTCAAAGGGGGCTTTAATGAGTCCAACATAAGAACAAACAATACAAATCCTGGCTAAGAGAAGTTTTCTTCTTTGGGATTTCTGTTTGTCATTCTTCTTTTGTGCTTACATTCTTTAGATTGCAAAGTAGCCCACACTGCATGCTGATTAACATATATTTATCTGCAAGTTTTTCCAGGAATTCCAATATTGGCAACATTTGATGATATAAGCAGATGTCTGAGCCTCAATGTACTTGTAAATTTTTGACAAAATATACGTTAAGATTTCTGAGTATTCAAACAGCAGTCTTCAAGCAGTTTCCATGGTAGTTTCTACGAAATGCTTTGCAACTTCCAAGGAAAATATTTCCGTGAACAAATAAACTAGCTTTCAATTGACTAAAAATGTGGATTTCTCATTGCTACAAATTTCCCCTTTCTCTTTCCAAACAAAGCATTCACAATCATCTTTGGATAATTCCTTCTTGATGGCCAGGAAAAACTGTTCTCTTCCAGCTGCCACCTAGATTAGGTGACACTATAAGACTGTATATCTTCCAGTCTATGGTCAAAATCAAACTGAAATTAAGTAGCAGCATGATTTTCCACTGGTTGGTTACAAGAGCTGAGGCAGCTTATATTGCCAAGGAAGATGGGTTATTTACCTATTACCGCTCTTTGAGGCCCTGTAAGCACATTCTTTGTATATATACATTTGGGTAAACATATTCTATCAGGCAGACGATTCTACCCTGAAAGTCTGCCTTAGAGCATGGCCCAAAGCCCATCATTGTTACAAAAACAGGTTAGATGTGTTCCTTGCTCTCAGATCCTTTCTAGCCAAGAATTCGCATCTCTCTAGCACTTTCACAAAGGCAGACGTGCAGTGAAGGTACATATAACAAACACAGCGTAAGAAGAACTGGACAGAAAGTAATCCATCTTACTTCTTGAAATGCTTCTCTATGTGCAAGGGTCATTGCAAGTTATACCCAGTAAACAAATGCCCGGCAGATCCCAGAATACCGATTTAAGTAAAAGCAAACAGACTGCTCTCCCAAAGGTAGCATCACTTGAATCCTCAGTAAGGCCAAAATATGAGGGGGCGGGAGGGCAGTGGAAGACAGACTGGAGTTCCGCGTCACAGCTTTGCAAATCACAACAACTGGCACGTTCCACAAAGAAACCATTGATTTTGCCTAACTGACATACTTACAGCAAGAAGTTTTTTCTGAGCTATTTCACAACATGTTTTTCACTGTCAGCTATCCAGAGAAAAATCCAGCTGAAAACTCCTTAAGACTGCTGAGCAATCAATATAATGGGAAACAAGGAGACATTACAAAGATCTTAAGTCTACCAAAACAAGAAGATAGGGCACGTCCAAGATCTAGGATATTTGGAACAACTTTGGCTACAGTCTTTGAACAATAAGGAGCAAAGGTAAATTACATTCCTGTCTTACAACAAGAGAACAACATTCAAAGGACAGAGTTATCCTCAAATGAAACAATAGGCAAGTAAGGCCTGAAAATCTCACACTCTTGTAAAAGTAACTGTTGAAAGGCTGCATTTGTGAAAAAGGAAAGCATTGCCAGAAGTTTTAACAGTTTTCTTACCAGAATGACAAAACAAGAACAAAACTCAGTAGTCCTTGTTAGGAAGAAAAGGCCGAACTACACCTTTCAAAAACCTACTAGGAGTAGTGCATCTGGTCTCACATGGTGCCAAGGGATTCAGAGTGAGGCATTTCCATGCTATACCTGTGAGAAAGACTCCTGAGAGATTATTAGAATAATTAAAGTTCAGAACCACCCCACTAGCTAAAAGGTCTTGGTCTTTAAAGAGTGTAGTTATATTTCTACGAATTCCAAGTACTGTGAGGGAGTAAGATTCAATTTCTGAGTATTAATCCCAAGACCTGCCAAATTTAGTGAAAAACTAATGAATTTTTTTTTTTATCCTATGAGAGTTGTCCCTTACAGACCAAGTTATCCAAATAAGGAAAAAACAATACTATGTGATTGGTTTTTTAAGTAAGAAACTATCAGAATCAAAATCTTTATAAAAAGTTTCTCTGTGCCATAAGTTGCCAAAAGGTAGGAATTTAAATTTAACAAAGACCAACTGAGATGCAAGTCTAACACAACAAGGGAATTACCAAAGTCACCTTTCAAATTAAGGCAGCTGTTCAGATTTTCTTGTTATTAAATAATCAGTCCTGTAAAACACCCCCCCACCAAGAGCAAATAAGGAATGAATCTATGGTCCTATATTCAAGTCACTATACTTATCTAGGAAACAGTCCTAGTGAGATGATCAATACCAAAGCAAGAGGTCTTGCATTCCAAATTAATATCCGAGTATTATGGGTAGACTTAATATATGACAATGGACAGCAATACTTAAGGTCCTTCTCATCTCCTCTGGACAAATATGTGTGGAGATTTCAACAAATAATCAATGCCACCTACTAGATTGACAGTCCTTTTCAGAGATCACCACAGGTCAAGGAAAGCCTCTTCTCCTGCAGCCAAAACCACCAAACATTGAACTGGAGCGTTGTTTTGGAAGGTATCTTAGAGCTATTGATGCCATCACAGACTTATCCACATGGATCAACAGAAAGTCTTGGGTTTTTTGCAAGAAGAAATTACTAGAAATACCACTTTCACATTCAAATTCAAAGCTAAAGAAATGGAACCTTTGATTGTGACATAAAAGATGATATTTCTGTTAGAAAAAGGAAATTTTCTACTACAGAAAATAAAACTCTTAACCCAGGATGAAAAAGGAAGCCATATACTAGTGGCTATTAATAAGAAATCAACCAGCAGTCAGAAAGGGACATCTAATATGACCATGTCAGGGCTGAAGTTCCAAAGGGAAGTATAGACCTTCAAATATACTACACAGTGGACCCTCACAGCAAGAAAGAGTTGATAGTTCAGTTGAGAAACAGCAAATACTAGGACTGATCCAATTTTACCTCAAAAGATGGGAAAAAATGAGTTATAAAGGTACATGCACAGCAAATGTGGTTCAGGTGTGCTCCTATAGATGCTGTTAAGGTGAAACCCTTCAGCTACCATGGGTTAAGTGCACATTTGCATTCTGGACACCTCTCCAGAGCAAGCTGTGACTTTATCATTCACCATGCAAAGTAGCAACTCCTGTCTCAAAAAATGATATAACCTGAAGACACAAAACTTTTCAGAGGCAGCTTCTAGTTCAACATCTGAATGTCCCCCTTTGAGGTTATTCCAGAGTTTCCAAACCCCACAAAAATAGACACTGGATTCAGACAGCAAACAACAACAACAAAAAATGCTTCTATAAGGATAGTGAAGAATGTTTTATTGGACAAACTTGTTCTCTCAAAGTTGAGAAATCCTGTAGAATACTCAGGTATAAGTGGGACAAATGACTCCTAGTCTGCAGGTCACTTTCCGTAAAGATTATACAAGAATCTAGAAATTAAAGAACCTCAAAGTGCATAGTAAAATTCCCAAAGACATGTATTAATTATTAATTCCTGTGTTTGTAAAAATCTGCTTTAATAAGTATTTGTAGACGATAGTAGCATATTTGTAGAAGACAGCGTATTTCAGGGATGACTTTAAGGAAAAAAGAAAAAGGAGGGACTGATGAAGTATTAAGTAAAAATCCTTGGGTCAGCTGGAAAAAAGGCTGGGAGAAATTCCATTCATTTGTTTGCTGGTATTTCTACTTTCAAATGCAATGGTATGCTCTTTTAATAACAGAAGCTGTAACTGCTATAATGTCATCAGCAGAAGCTTATAAACATGACTGACAAGCCTCAGATGTTATTAATGTTGTAGTTAAAATATAAGACTGGGACAAAGGACTGAATTAGATTCCCATTCTTCATATGGGCTAGCTGTATGGTACTGATCAAGTCCATGACCACAGTTCACTGACCTGTATAGTGTATATAAAGTATGTTTACTTTCACTAATTGTAAACCAAATGAGAAGAGTTTCCTCTCAAGATTTCATTTCCTTAATTTTACATACTTAGGAACATAGGATTGGAAGACGGTTACTACTTCCCAGTTACTGTGTTGTTATATTGCACAAACCTGCTCTTAAACTAACCAAGCTACCTTAAAAGTAGTTTCCCATCTCCAGTACCACAAGACTGGTCAACAACTCTTCTCTGTTGTTACCTAGACATTGTTTCAAATTTTCACATTCAATTTATTCACATCCAGTTTACATTAATTAGATTTTGAGCAAACTTACAGTATCAGGAGGTGAAGGGGGGGGGGGAATTATGTGAGCAAAAAGGCTAAGCAACAATCCCTTTCTCCCATACTTGTCTAAGGGCATATCATAGACCTCAGTTTTTCATTTGCTGGACTGAATAAACCTTTTAAAAGCTGCCTCTTGCAATACACACTTTATTTCCCTAATTATTCAATCTAAGATTACTACTATGAACACCTCTTCTACAAAGTTTTTGCTATGTATGTAGGGATTTAGCCAGTGTAAAATAAATTTTCTTGGTTTTGCTGTGCATGATTCAGTAAAGAAAACAGCTTAGACTCTGTTCTTCCCATGAGATAGCCTCTAAATGGAGTTGCTCTACATCCCTTTTTTGTACCTAACCTTAAAAGATCCCATATGTTACAGTAGATCTGTCATCACTATACATATGTGGGGATCTGTAACACATGAAGCTATAGCATTTCTAACAGCTCTTATAGTGAAACTTTTCTCTGAGCTGTCAGCTAGGTACTACCCCCAAAGACGTTCGCTTTTCTTGGAATTCTGCTAGAGAAATCCTGATCTGCAGAACCAATCCTGAGTGGGTTGCCCTGGGGTTTCCAACAGCATCCCTATAAATTTTTCTTCAGAAAAATATAGAACCGTTTGATCTCTCTTGCTAACGTATGAGGATCTTAAATGAAACAGGTTTATTCTGTGATCAGCATAGAGGCATTAAAAGTAGGCTGTCTCAAAAAAAAAGTTCAAACTGAACTCTATCTAAAGTTGCAACGGTGATCCTGTCACCCTCTCTTTACTGGCCCCTTTGGGCTCTGTTAAAACTCTGATGTGAAAGTAAGTCAATAACCAGAACCAGGTTCTTACTGGACCTCCTCAACAGTGGAGGAGTAGTCAGCTAAAGCATGTACTCGCAGAAGCTTCTGCAATATCACCTTGGAAGAAGCTGCCAGGACTAAGAAATTCTCATCAGTTTAATCTAAATTCTGTCAGAATGGCAATTAAGGATATTGACATCTAGCATTCTGAGAAAAGAAGAAAAAACAAAAGTCAGGGAAATGTGAATTTCAGAGCATTTTTTTTAAATACTAGTAACATTTTCTGTTCAGTTATCAGTTTCCATTACTCAGTGTTCTATGTAGGACACTACACTCTTTGCCAAGTAATAAAATCTCAGTGTTAAGGAAAGCAGGATGTTAGTGCTTTAAACGTGGAATAACATGATCTACATTAACAATCATTTAAATCATTAAATCAGCAGAAACAAGCCCCGGTATGACTAAAATATTTTAAAACTATCATACCTTCTATCACTTTTATTTGGAATCCATTTGCTACAAGCCTTGGATCTGAGAAATAACCTGATCCATTGAAACTCCGGTAATCCTTTCGCATTTTATAAAGAGCAGCCATATACTGAGCTCCACCAATAAGACTGAAAAAAAAAATAATCCCCAAAGTGTTAAAACCAAAATCCTTAATGTGGAAATTAAAACTGTGAGAAAAATACAGGAAAAAGTAGTAGGCGATGAAGAGTGATCATGATTTTTAAAAATATTCTGAAAAAGCAATTTGTTTAAAGAAACAAAATCGCAACTATTCACATATCTTAAAGAGTGACTGAGTTTAGGTATATAATAATAATTACATCAGCCATTCCCTAATCCATGGGAGAAAGCTAGCTAGAATGAAGTTGTGAAAATGTGGAACATATAATTTTCCTCTGGTGGAAGAAATTTACTGCATTACCAATGAAACTGGTCAAAAGTCATACTTATTTCAACTGGAATATGACCAGGCCTGCTCATTACTATAAGGTAAAAGTATACAAAACATAAATATCTGTTCTTACAGATAGATGAATGTACAAATAATCACAGAATTAGCAAACAGGGCCTTACCAGAGTTTACTGTAAATAATTATCAAAAGATACTTGAAATAACATACAAATTTTTGCTCAATTGTACTATACCTGTCGGTTAACACAATTGGCTGGTCCAGTTTCTCTACTGGAAGCTTATGATTCATTAGTAGTCTTTTAAGTAGCAGGGCTTCTTCCAATCTATAGGGATTCAGCAACATTAGCTTTTTTTCAGTAGCAAATATCCAGACATCAGGAAAACTCTGACGACGGATCAGGAAAAGCTCATGTTCATCCAAGTAATTTTTCTCATGTCTCTGAAGCTGATGTCTACAGGAACTCAGAGAAAAAGGCACTGTCACAATTTTTGTAGGCTGTTCAGATTTCCGCTTCTTTTCAGTTTGAGCATGAAATATCTTGTCAAGCTTCTGCTGGTCGGATAGGGAAGTCTTCAGTTTGGGTTTCTGTTTTTCTGCCTCCTTTGTTGGTCGGTGCACTGTCTGTCCCATAGCTTTCTTGACCTCTTTGTTGTACCGTTCCATGTCTTTAGCAGCTTTTATTTCATAACTTAAAAAACAAACCAGTAGCATAATCAGATAAAAATCCAAATCCCAACTCTGAACTTACTAAAACAAAAGGCAAGGTAACTATTTCAACAGACAAGAACAACTCCCATGATTCATTCAAGTAGCCACATCAATATGCTTTCCACAATGATGGAGGTGGAAGGACATTGGAGATTGTGCCCGTATTACATTACCCTTTGAAGATGATGAGTTGGAAATTTTCCTTCATCATGACAGCCAGCAAAACTTGAATTACTGAAGGGGGAGGAGTAGACTGCATCATACAAAGAGCTACAGCAAGTTGCTTTTGACCTCAGTCCCAAAGACTGCATTTAAGCCTAATTTGCAGTCAGATACACAGTTTTGAAGGAGTTTTGTCACAGGCACATCCAGCCCAATTCACAAACCCATTTAAGTTTCCAGAGCTCTACATACTTCAAGGCGAGGGGGGGTGTCCATGTGGTTAGGTAAGAATTTGGAGTCTAAATAACTTCATAAGACTCAGGCTTTACTTAATGTAAAGAACTACATGTGATTTCAAATGGCCTAAAATTAGTCTCATAAATAAAAAGTGTGAGGATACAGAACAGATACGATTATCACAGAATTCTGTAACTAATAAACTTAGAGATTTTTCAAAAAGTAGTCAACTACTACTAGATGCTGTCTGAATGGATAAAACATTACTACATAATAAATCTCTACAAAGTGAATGGATTCTTGATGAGTTTACTAATGTGAAGAAGATAGCTAAACATTTATAGATGCCAGGTTGCCTACTGCATATGAATCTTACTTTTTTGAAGGCCAAAGGAGTGATTTGCTGAACTCTCTCTTTTTGCCCTTATTTGATATTCTGAACTGTAGCACGTAATTCAAACCAGTCCAGTCTTCAATAAAAAAAAGTAGTACTATCATATGTAAGTATTGGAAATAAATATTTTAGATGGTCATATTTATTTATTGCTACTTGCTGGAACAGTTTGATTCAATTATGTGTATGCATGCTGGAAAATTAAGGTCAACAAAAAGGTCACCATTTGCAATTAATTATGATGTGCTAGCGTTCACATATGGTACCAATATTTAGTTAACTAAAAAAAGTCAGCTTAAATAGTTTCTTGCAATAAATCATGTCCTAGAAAATATGGAGTAAACGTTAAGATAAAAAACATCTGCTCCTTTTTAAAATGAATGGATGAAATCACTTGAACAGAAACTTTTTAAACCTAAATACATTTATAGCTTTGACCAGATCAATACTTTGTTTTGAACACCTCCAACTGTAACACAGGAGAGTATTTAACTATAAGAAAACTGAACTTTCAGTGATACACTGATAATCCAAAACAAAAGCAACTCCAAATAAAGTCCAACTTGTCTGTCATTTTAGGCTACCAACAGAAAACTCTAGTCTTAAAAGCTTTGATTATGAGGGTCTTGCAAATTCATATACATCACTATCAGTGATTTACTCAGAATCAAAGAAATCAGCAAGTTTACAAACTATGAGGGAACATCTTTGCCTTTTCAAAAAACCTTCCACAGAGGCAAGTATAATCAACAAGTGCTACAAGAACAGTTTCTCTTCTGCTTTGTGAATTAAGAGTGTAGATTCAGGATCCCTTCCTGAAGCTACAAAACCTAAAGCCAAGGAAATGTGCAAAACTGGGTGTAAGGAAGGAGTGGAAGACTCGAATCTGGAAGTCTAGTTTCAAAGGTGACTTTGGTTTAACTAGACAAATGGATCCACAATTTATTATTTTTTCCCCCTGCATCTTAAACCCGAATGAAATACTTAGCATGTAACAAAAATCTTTTGATAAAAGGTCTCTCAGACCTTACAAGAAAAATAATCTGAATTTGACTATTTGGAGTAAACTCTGATGGAAATGGCCATTTGTGTAGAATCGTATCTGTCCAGAATAGAGGTGCATCACATTCTAAACATTAACACTTCTCAGCATCAGCCTCTTCATCTAATGAAATGAAATCAACTCAAATTATCACCATAAGTATGTATTACATTCTACTTCTGTGTTTCCCTGCTTTGTGAAGAGGAAAATTAAAAAAGCTTTTAATAGCCCCTACCAGCTTTTCAGTTTATTTCTGAAATGCACAGGTTTCAGGTGATTAGCACTGCTTCCTAGGAGTGGACAATATGGACTTACAATTATGACTGAAGTGATGCTGGGGACAAGCATCAATATGGGAGGACTGATACCAATTATTAATATCATTATTCATGATTAATATCTAGCAGTATAGGAATGGAGCTGGCTAGAGATACGAAGGATGACCAGTGACCAGACGGTACCACCAAATGACCACATTAACTAAAAGGTTAAAAGACAGTAAAAAAGATTTTTTGTGGAATTCCTAAGCAGCATACTTATCCCAAAGTGAAAGAAGTGCAAATAATGCACACACCCACACACAAGCCATGAGATAGCATGGAAAGTTTATCAGGCAATAAAAAGCTACCACACATGAGCTTGTTACTACTACCCACTAATGACTGCCTATGTGCATGCTCTTGTCAGCATGTGCTCATCAGCTATGCGCTCATGTCAGCACAGGCCATGCTACCTGAAATGATGTTTCTCCCGAGGTACAAATATACTCATGAAGAATTACTATAGAATACTGACAAGGTAATTTGTTAGTCCCATGATAATGTACGTGTAGCTCCGAACCTTTCCTACACCTTCAGGGTAACTACTGCTGCCACTGCCATGGCCCTTGGAGGGATTTCTCCCACTCCTACCTGTGCCTGATATGCAAGAAATATTAAGGCCAGAAATGTACGTAAGCTGTATTAAGTAAGAGCAGAATGAGAGCAAGAAATTAAATCCTGGCTTTGCAAAGCAGGAGGATACGCAACGCTGCCAACATGGACATGCATGGAAGCTTTCCTCTTCTATTATAACCTAAAGACCATAACATTTTACATTCCGGTTGAGTAATAAATGCTGGCTTGTTTTGAAAAGGCTATCCTATGTCACTATGAGACATCTGTTGGTTGTACTGCTCCCAAAAGGGATTTAAACTCATTTAGACCTGCTGGAGAAGCCACAGAGAGAAACAGATATGCTGAAGCCAAGCACACCCATTGTAATATAAACACATAACTTTATCACAGAAGGATGGAGGACTAGAGAGAGCCCAGAAAAAGTGCTGTCTTGCCAGCAAGGTTGCAGGAAGTTGGAGGTATAGTGTGCTCAGTAGAACTGTGGCACTTTGGCTGCCCTGTTGTATATACATTTGTTGTTACCTCTAGGTGGCCCAATTTATCCAGAGTATCTGGTAGCCAAGACTTATGTTCTCTGCCAGACACACAACAGTTCTGGATTGTTGCCTTGGAGGAAAAGATGTCTGTGTATCTCTTCCTCTTCGTTATTTTCTGAGGCAAAAGATTAAAAGCAGAAAAGAGATACACCAAAGCCGAAATGTATGGACACAACCAGTGGTAAATTTTTTATTCACTTCAACATCCACTGGACAATACTGCATTCAATCTCACATATAAGGAAAACTTCATTACGTCATTAGTTCAGGTCTCCTTCCTGAACTAATACAAAGTTAATCTGTAGGCACACTCTTAAACATAACAGTTGTACCAGGAAAGCAACCATGAAATCTCAAAAGCTAAAGCAGAGCAAATTAAAATTTTCTGAAGCAGCTGGCAGAACCTTTTGTTTCAGTTCATTAAAAGCATAATTATAATTGGAGTAGATTTCTACTATTACATTAATATTTCTGCTAATGCAGATAGACAAAACACTTTCTCACATGCATGGTTTTGTGATCATGGCATGTTGCTTGCTTAGTGAGCTTTAAATTAATTAAATCGGAAGCTAGATTAAAAGGTTTTACTTAGTCAGATATAGCTGGTATTCAGAACAATGCAGATGTTTTCAAACAAAGCTAAGAAGTCAAGGAAAAAACTTGGTACCTTACCAGTAATTCATAGGTATAGCTTCTCTTTCTTACCACTCTCCTAATCAAATCTCCCATTAGTGTTAAAATTACGCTGTTCTGCCTAGTATAGTTTCCTTTTCAGTGGTCTTTCTTAATCCCCTCTCCTTGCTTCGTTACATGAAGAAAACACATTTTCACTACACTGCCAATGAGTTTGTTCTTCAGAACCAAAACTTCCTAAACTTTCTGCCACAAATTACAATATGCATTCAAAACACTACATGCAAAACTATTGAAGAACTTCTATTTTCCTCATCAGTGTGATGTTCTACAGTGTTTTACATTTTATAAAATGACAAACAAGATGTGGAAGGTTTGGTATTTTTTTTTTTCTTTAAACTGTCTTAGAATGTCTCAAAACCTGTTATTCTAATTAATCTTTTACCGTAATACAACTTCCACATAAAGAACAACACATGATGTTTTAACTAACCCAACCCCTGCCCCAAATTAGTCTAAAATATTTCCCTTGCTTGTAGATGGATTTCAAAAACTCAGTGATAATCAGTTTTAGAAAAATATGGACTTTAGCTAGTCAGATTGCAATCTAAACAGAGATTTGGTTTTGGCTGAAACAGTTTCTCTACCATACTCTCTGAACCAGCACGGAAATAGCTGTTTAGGGGAAAAAGAAATTCCCTGTGTCATTTGATTGGGTTTTATAATTCTGAGGAAGCCTGGATTGGGATACATACTAAATTTAGAGGAATGTTGGAGTACTAAAGATCCTGAAAAAGAATTCTCACTTTGTAGAAATAAAAAAGACCTGTTCATTGGAAAAGCTCCGGAGGAATTATACGGTGCCTCATCCATCACCATGCTGATTTTCATTGACAGTGCATCAGGAGCGACAACATACAGGCAGATCTTAGAAAACAGGTTTGCAGGATTCAAACAGTAGATTTTCTCGCCTGTTATCTCTAAATAGCAATTCAGCAAAACTGTCCCTCCATAACTGCTGCACGTCACAGCGGCAAAATGAGTATCAACAGTGCACATCTGCACACAGCAAAATGTTACAACTCATAATACTAATGCTGATCTTGAAAAGTCAAAATTAATTTTCTGTTCTATTTTTTCATAAGTAACTGGGAAGTTACCATTTTTTAAAAACACTACAGGTGACTCATCTCAACTAACAGACTTAGAAGCAAGTCACAGTCTGAAAACTTACTTCTTTTTTTCGTCTTCATTCAAATTCTTCCACTGCTCTTCAATTTTCAGCAGGATGTCCTCCATGCTGGCCTTTGGATTATCAGTTATCAGTTTTGGACGACATTCTTGTGTGAAAAATCCAATTGCAGACTTTGGTTTTCTTATTATTTTACTACTAATTAAGTCATAAGCTGACACCTGTCCGAATTTATCACTTATCACATTTCTTTTCTTTATGCTTTGATTTAAGATTTGTGGATCATTGCTTTGCTCACCAGTATATTCATTTTGCTTATTAATTGTTCTTCCAACTTCAGGAATCAGAATCTTAACAGGTTCCAGATTGTCTCCTAGATGGTTTTTAAATCCACTTCCCATACTCCAATTATCAGCAGAGATTTCAGGTAAGTCTTTAGAGATTAAGACTTCATCATTTTTTTCTATTTTGTCAATATTATCAGAACTCAAAAGATGCTCATTGGCTTTTTTAGTCTTGGGGTCCATGGGAACACTGTTATTTTCAGTATCAGTTATATTCTGTCCATTCTGTTCCTCCTCACACAATAAATTTAAGGAACTGTCTGAAAAGGCATCACTCTTAGAAACCTCTTTTTTGTCCAGGCGACTATGTACATTATCACCACAAAATGTCTGATGACTTAAGCAGATCTCTGTGTTTTTTCCTGCTTGACAGTTTTGCACATCACTGCTGAATGAAAGGAATGAAGTATGAGCATGTAGATCATCATTTCCAGATGGTCCCATTTCATTAACCACATCTGTTTGTTCTGTTCTATGAACAAACATGTCTTCTGCAGTAACATCTGTTTTATTACTTTCACCAGGGACTGTAGCAGGTAGTGGTCCATACAGAGATTTCAACACATTTTCAACAGCAAGTAAGACAGATTCCTGAAAGAAAAAAAAAAAATAAAAAAAACCAGAAAAGCCACACACACAAGCACACCTTAAAACGTTACTGACAGATATTGAGAATATAGAACAATAACAAAAGTGATCTTATTCAGAATATTTTTTAAACAAATCTGGACACGTTATTGCACACATGCTCAAAAAGACTCTGAACTGAATACCTTTAGCCTCAAATATTTTGTGACAGGTATTTTGTTTCACTGGTTATCACAAAAATGAATAACTACAGGTAAAGCTATTCCCAACTAATATGGACTTAGAAGCTTATAGTCAAGATAGATGCACCAACAACATCCATTTCATGTAAGCATGTTTGTGTAGATGCCTTTATGGTGCATGCCTCCAACACAGCTTTGCACCAAATGATGGAAATGAAAACCAGGAAAAAAAACAACACACCAGAAGAAAAAAAAAAAAAGAAAAAAGTAAACCCAACCCTTTTTCTAATGCAAGGAAACCTTTAAATTAGATCGAATGTGAGAATGTTGTGTTAATCTTCATACAAGTGACACTTAACAGGCAATACATTTACAAGATTATCATAGATAAAACCAAAACCTCACAGTGAAGAAGAGGATTAACATACTGGTGTGACTACCTGTCAATCTAGTCTTTCAATTTCTGTGGCATTGTTTTTCATATGAAGTACTAACTAAGTGAAAGTGACTTTATGGAAATCTATTACTACACATCTTTTAAAACATGGACATATATGGTCTAAATTTCAGGTCTTGATAGTATGAACGAGGTATCCTGAAAGTTAAGTGATGTCAAAAATAATCTATACACATAATGGCAAAATATTGCTTTGACCAGAAATTAACTCCCTCCGCATCCCCTTAAAGTACATGGTGTTTAAAAAGCAGTTACTTAGTGTAATTATGAAGATAAGCATGAAAATTATGTAGGGACACACATCATAATTCCGTTTAGCTTCTCTCACTGTTAAAGCCATTGAAAAACAGTGACACACACATGTATCTTACAGAGTAAAAAGTGATCTTGGAAATCAACTGGGAAATTAATTTTGAATAATCCTCCACTTAGCCTGTTCAATACTTTTCAAACAAAACAGTCCTGTAATAAAGGCAAGCTATCATATAACTGAAACAAAACAGTGGCACTGTTTACCTTCAAACATTTCAATAGTCCCAGAAGCCCTTATTATGCTTACATACATAAAAGGTTGACAACTCAAAACCAGATTAAAATCTTAGTTACCTTATAATGCAGTAAAACTTGAGTTTTATCAGGTGTTAAATTCACATCCACAGCAGAAGCAGGTACAGTAATGTTCAAAAAGAAAATAGGATATAAACGAGTACAGTCCTTGTGCATCACCAGACTGTAGTACTGTCGAATTAACTACAGATTGATTTAACAAAGAGATGTCAGTAAAGGCAATAAAATAGACACAAAGGTAGAGAAACAAAATTTGACATTATAAAAGCATAACTGGTTGGTTTGTTGATTTTGGGGCTATTTTAACTTAAAGGAATGCTAAAAAGGTTCTCATGGGTATACATGTATGCTGGAATAATCATCAAAAGGGGAGTTATGGTGGTTTCCCTATCTTCACAGCTAAATTAAAAAAAACCCAAAAAACAACAAAACCCACAAAAAGGAACCAATTCTAAGACACTAATGGTAGCTACTTTGATTTTCTGAATGAAAGTATTGATCACACTTGGGAGAAAAGATATGATATGCCCAAATTGGACTGCAACTTCACTACTTACTTCTTCAACCAACAAAAATATTATTATTTGTTTGTTTTTTAAATAAAATCTACTTATATAGCATGCCAGTACATTGCTGTCTCTTTCAGCCAAATTAAAGTCTGAGAACATAGCCTAGGCACCACAGACCTGCCCTTTACTCAGAACAGATTTAATTTGTTCCTTTTATTAACCCAATTATAAATTTACAGGTTTTCTTGAAAACTCTGCTTGCCCTTACTATTTTCTCTATAATCCTCCCCAAAACTCCTCCAAAAGACTACAAAATATATTTTTTTCAGAATTTTGGTCCTGTTCACTAGAAGGATCAAATAAAGATCCTTGCACTTCCCTCTAGTATCAGGGATCCTTCAACATACATACATACTGGAGAAAAGAATACATTAATAAGAAAAAAAAATTGACATTATAAAAAATTGTGTTGCTGCAGATTATATTTTTTTAATTCATTTTTTAATTCTTAAATATTGTTTACATTAAACTTATTTAGATATTTTCAAGTTATTTTAACCTTAATATTCCCACAGACTGTCCTCAGATGTCCACCAGCACTTCTTCCCCATACATAGCATGGAAATAAAAGGAAGTGACCTATAGCTTTGTTTGCCAAACCCATAAAAATGTGTTTGTACAGATGTATTGTTATCCTCACCTGGCCAAAAAGACTGGGTGGAAATAAAAAAAGAAAAGGGAGTGGAAGATTACACTTGCACTACTGCAGAACACCCCTGAATGAAGGGTAATGTATTTGTACTTTATATGACAGTACTCTGAATCTCACCTTGAATCTAGGCTTCTGTGCTCTGGTGAAAAAGTTGTCCCTGTCACAGGATTCAAGCTGAGCTTTGAACTCCCAGAACCAGGCACATCAAATACAGAGTAGAGATGTGCAAGCCTCATTTGGCACTTAATGTACCAAAACAAGTTCAGAGTTTCCACCTACAAAGCTTTACTTGCCAACTGAAAACTATTTCATTGTCTCCACTTTAAAACCTACATGTACACTTTGGCACAAATATGATTTTCTTTTCTGGGGAGGGCAAGGATTAGGATGGCAAGGCTGCTCCAAGTGAGGTGCTGCAAGGTTCAGTAGTGTGAGAAATCCAAGAGTATCAAATTCTGCCTACACAATGCCTAGCTGTAGCCAATGCTGCTGCACTATCACTTTCATTTTTATCCAATGCACACACAAATTTAAAGGGAAAGTATGCGCATTTGCTTGATAAGCCCACAGCAAGAAATGGATAAAATCAAAACTTTATTTTCAGAATAATTCTCTTACAAGAAACTACATAAAGTTCCCTCATGGAAAACTGCACAGGTATATTATTGCAGGCTAATACAAAGAAAGAATAGACTATTCTGGTCTCTCACATATGAGTATCTGAAATTACATTGTTTCTAAACAGTCATAAACAAAACCTCCAGCTCTGCGGATGTAAGTGACTGCAGCAAATGGAATAGAACTGTATAGAGGCACCAGGAACATCAGACTTGTGACGAGCTTTCTGTTGTAAATGCCACCTAGTATCTTCACCTGTAATACTCTATAGTTATTTTATGTGGGGAAAAAGGTTGTAGACTGCGCAGGTATCTCTGTTCTCAAAGAGGTCACATTTCTTGAACAAAAAGCTAGAGAATGTTACCTTCAGTATTTCCTTCTGATGAACTGGACGATTATTTACAAAAACGAAACTCCTTTCTGAACTTGAAAGGCTTGTCAAAGAACTGTCTGACTCAGCTTTCGGGAGAAATCCAGAAAGATTTATCTGTAATGATAAACAAATCCAGTACAAAAGTCTTTAAAAGAGAACCTCAAAAAGGTTTTTTAGAAATTGTACAGGAGTCCAAGTCATTCAAATGCATGCACTGCTTCTTTAAAGTTATGATACAAAAAGTAAAAGCATTTAAAGAAAAAAAAAAAAGAGATTGAGAAGGATGGGTTTGCATCTATTTTCCTTGATCAGTTTATTGAGAAATTTCCCATTTGGGGTGCCAGTTGCACCAGGCTGCTGTCTGTAGCTGAGGGCTGTGGAGAACTCCAGGCAGCTTTATGCTTGTTGACTGTAGGGCTGTGAACTTAGCCCCTTTACAAGCTAAAGGCACACACTGCTGCCCAACCTGGAAAAGGTAGTAGTGCTTTCTCTATGGGGAAAGCCCAAAACAATCCCTCCCTTTCTACATGCAGGGTACCTTAAATAGCCTGTCATAGGGCATGTATTCAGGGCACCTAAATTTACCTACACCACCTGTATCCAAATCATGTGACACTCAGGAGTGCTGAGCACCCGCGAATCACAGACTGCATCAGAACCTGTGAGCACACAGCACTGCCAAGGAGCCTCTGAAAATCACACGATTCAAGTACCTAACATTAACACCAAGTTTTAAGATTTTTCTGTTGAAATTCTTTACCTTAGGGTTTTTTTAGGTCAAAATGAGGCCAATGACTTATGCTGCCTGTCCCATCACCTTCCCCCTCTCCCCCACCAAGCAACTTTGAAACTGCTGGATCAATTTCAATTCAATCTGGTGAAGAAACAGAAATCCCAAAGATATTATATTTCCACCATTTCTCTGATAACTGACAGCTGTTTGGAGAGGAGCCTCAAGATAATGACCTTACTGAGGAAAAGGCAATTGCAGCTTTTCAAAAGCTGGGATCCATTAGCATGTAAGAACTGATGTGCCAACCAGCCCATGAAGTGCCCCACACATCGCCCCACTGCCACGTGCCCAAACTAACAGAGGAAGGAACACTTGGAGCATCGTGAGGATGGAGATTTTGGAGATATGGGCAAGTCTGGAGAATGTTCTGGTAGCAGGGTGGATCACTGAACACAGAAATGAGACCTTGTTAGCTTTGCTTTTGGCAGAACCACTTGTATTCACTAAAATCCAAATTATCATGCATTTGAAACGGAATTTAAAATCCCTGGGATTTGGCCTATCCTTCTCATTCATCTACGTCACTCCAGTTATCTGCTCATGTGCTCCCTTATTCCCTCTTGACCTTGTAATAAGCATTCTGTGCTAAAGCTGGAGTGTTCTGGTCAGCAGCGTCACACATAACCAAACACCACTGGTCAAGTTAAAGAGGTGTCAAATATCTGTTGGATGATTATCAGAAAACAACATGCAGCGCTTCTAGATTTTATTCTGCAACTTTAGCACATCCTCCCTGAATGTCCCTCCTCTGTGTTTCAAGCTCCTTTTAGAATTCCCAAATATTTGTGCAAGTCTTTCATTTCAAACAATGCTTTTAAATACAGACAACATTAAAGAAAACTGAAAGTCTCTAAACTCATTTAAGAAGTAGTCAGATTTAGGAATGGCTGACTGCTATTACTATTTAAAGACACACAGAATATCAGTATGCTCATTAAAAGTCAGCCACAATTTCTAAAACTAGCCTTAATTATTAGAATTTTCATATATGAAAGTATATGAAGCATAAAGACAAAATTACAGACTGGAAAATATTACAGAATTTTTGCTTTTAAATTAGATCAGCTGTTTTCAAAATAAATACTTTAATAAAAATCAACTTCTATATGTATTAAAATATATCTGTGTTGAGTGAACAACAGAATGTCTGTCTTAAGCACTTAACTTTTTCCCTGTGTCACAGGTATCTGTTAACCTCCACAAGAAAAGAAAAGCCTAGGAAAATTTCCTTTGTTAAAGCTTTCAGCCAAAATAGATCCACCCATCTACAAGACTGGGGATGTAAAAAGCATAGTTGCTCTTTTGTACATGTAAAAAGTTGTGTCAATTCTTTATTTTCTGTTTTCTTTTTATTTTACAAGTAGTATCTGAGTTTGCATGCTTTGGAGTCAGCTTCAAATGTGTTCTTTCATTCAGTGCTCACAAGGATATGTTTTGAAGAAAGCCAGTCTTTAAAACTCTTGGATCACTTGTTACAGAAGTATTATCTCCACAATTAGTAAGATACAGCTTATAGAAAATTGTTTATAGCAAGATTGGTTTTGTTTTCAGAGTAGACTTTTCAGCAAAGGAGTATGAAGCTATGTGATGAACAAGTAGGAAAGAAGAATAATTAAAGAGCTGCTCTCTGGTCTCTGTACTTGAATGAAGCATGGACCTAATGAAACACAAAAAAGTAGCATATGCTTTGTCATTAGATACCTATCCCAATACCTGCACACTAAGGATCAAGAAAGGGTTACACAGGCAACCTTAATTCCATCATTTCATAGTGTTTGTCTGCTTAATTTAAAAATGTCCATGCTTTCTGAACGCAGATTTGTGTAAGCAATAAGCAAGGATCACTTACACACCTATAAATGATGCACGTGGTATTTTACACACTATTTAGAGACAGAGAGAGAGATGGAATGTTCCCCAACTTCTATTCAAGGAATATGGATGCCTCATGATATAGCAGAGAGGTAATGTGAGAACCTGAGTGCCTCCCCTTCAAGATAGTCCCTTCTAAATACCCCCATGTGTCCCCTTTGGAGCCCCCTGCATTTGCCCTGTGGGGCACATCCAACATGCATTCAGGTGAGAATGATTCTGGATGTTCTGTTCAGCAACAAAAACTTTGTAAACTACAAGAAGCAACTCTGCTTTCTTTCCCCTCATTTCCCTGCACATCTGTACTACAGGCACCTTGACAAACTCAAGATTTAAGTCTGAATAATGCTATTAAACTTTATTAAAGTCTGAATATCCATATATGTACTAAAGTCTGAATAATGCTATTAAACACAACTTATCATGCTGAATGCAGCATGATAAGTTGTGTCTAATAGCCACTGTGACTTTACAGATGGTGATTCATCTCATCTATGTGACTGGCCAAGATTTATTACAAGATACAGGAAAATGCAACTTTGAAGGATCAGAAGTAGCAAGTCTCCCCTTCATAAGAATGTCTCCAACAAAAATGGAAGCATAGTAAACAATTTTTTGAAAATACTAGACAGGAGAATATCATGGGGAACTCCCTCAATTTCAAGAAGGGTAAAGCAAGCCTGGTAAAGTACACTGAGATTTTTGAAAACTAACTAGTGTTTCCTTGAAATATATGTTCAGTGGAAATTTTGCATAACTTGCCTTCTAACCAAGTGTTTCTTTTGCTGCTCAGGTGCCCCTCACTGAAATCGAGGGGATATTCTTCAGAGTGTAAGGCTAAGAGGCCATGAGGATGAGAACGATATAAATGCTTACATATTAATCAAAGCACAACCTGCCTGTGAGCCAGGAATCCCAACTTAGACAGCTCTGAGCAATCAGCAATTCTGCATTTGTCATCACAACTGTTTTTACTGCCATTTGATCAGTGCCACATGAGTACTGACTAGATAATTCTTGGAGTGGACTTTCAATCACCTAACCAATTAATTTTGCAGAGAGGACAGTAATAGAATCAAATGCATTAATTGGATGTCAATCTGGAGATAGTATTTCATTTTCAAATTCTCCTTCTTTTTGAATATTGTTTTAGCTCTCTTCATTGACAGGCTTTAAGTGGATTTGGGAGAAGGAAGTTTAAACTCACCTCAGGATCTTCACAGCAGTGTTGAAAAGGTACCATACTGCCCATAACGGCTGTTCCCAGAACTGACATACAGGCCATTTTGTGATCTGACACCCTCATCTTCTGCCAAATAACTGCCTGAAACAAATGGCACAGAGTCAAATTTTTGACATTATATTTGTTGAACTCAAGTCATGTCTATGAACATGCATATGCAACTGCACACATACTGTATATGTAACATTCTGTACTTTGACCCTCTTACATTCACAACTTTCAGTGTTAACACACACGATATGGTACTTTTTGGCATGTCTTCTCATATTGTATTACTTATTTAGACTCGTAGCGATTGGAAAATTAAGCAACGCTTGTATTTATGGATGTTACACGGCTAATCTGGACTTCTACACCTGAAGCAATTGTTAAAAACAAATCAACAAAAATAATACTTCTTCTTTTAGATATATAGCAGTAGGCTTTGTGGTTTTACCAAGCAAATAAATTGAAGGTTTATGACACGTCTCTAGCATGGTGGTCAACATCTGAAGGCAGGCACTGCAACACTTTTGGTACTTATACTGAAGAGCCAGGCTATTTTGCTAGAAATCAAGCTATTAGATGTCCATTCATAGCTCTTAACTCGATACTCCAGGTCTATGACAAGCCTGCTATTTAGAAAGGAAAGAAGTTCTAAGGAAGTATAAGGAAAGCAGCTGCTTGTCTAATGAAAACTTTCTAAAAGTTAGAAGGATATTAGCTACATATCTTCCAGTATTATTGCAAAGATTTAATAAATACAGCAAGGCAATACGAACTGCAACTTGGATCAGAAGTTAACCTGTCAAGTCCACTTGCATAAACAGAAAGTATCAGCTACTCTGGGAGGTGAAACTTTGTCTCTCACTAATGAGAAGTCCTACACTAAACAGACACAAATTTGAATCTGGTGACTTTTATTTCTGCATATCAAGAAAAATATTTTGCTTAGTTGGCTTTCTGCTTCTAGGCAACTGAGACTGCTAGACTCAGATCCACTTTATATCTATTTCTGTCACTGTTGGCTGACTGAGTGTATTTCAGTGTGCAACATTCAAACACAAAAGAAAAAAAATGCAGCAAGTTGCATTTTAAATCTGATGTTACACTGCTGTTAAAAAATGCTGTTTTAAATAGGTGCTAGGTGTCGAGTAAATTCAAAATGAGTTCACAGTATTCTGGTACAGGACATTATGTGAAAGCATGGTAAGTGAACAAAGAATACGCATGCACCCATCTCAAGAAATGCAATACATAGCCTTAAAATTCCACCTGTCCAGTGGAATATTTGCTGTCCTTGAGGGGTGAATTCCACAGAAGAACACGGTGCTCCTGTAAAATGATATTCCTTTCCTACAGGACAGGTGGAATTGTAAAGCTTTGAGACTCTTGAGCCTAAAACTATTCCCCAAATCTTTAATTTTGCATTTCCAAATGCATTTCTATACATTTGCAATGCATGCTCTGCAGCATTTGTGAAGTTGGGGCTTTTTAGTCCTGGCTGAATCTAGACACCAGCCTGACTGCCCTAGTCTTGTACCACCTAGACATCAGCCTGACAGCCCTTTTGTACATGCTGGATAACAGCTCAGCCATCCTACAGCCAGAGTAAATCCCTCAAACATAAAGGGCAATTTACATTGGGGAGGACAGTAAATATAAAAAGGGGAGAAGAAGAAACAAGCAAGCAGAGCCATGGACTGGGTGTCCACAGCTCTGGCAGGAAGAGTGCCCACTGTCCTTTGGCAGCAGGCAGAGGCAAAGGATAGCTCGGGGCTGCCCAAAGCATGCAGCCTCTCAGCCTCTCTCCTCTACACCTGCTGTAAATCTCCTCAAAGACATTTCAGAGTGATGAAAGAATTTGTCCTCTTCTTTAGAGCTCCTCTTATAAAACATATCCTGTACTGCTTCTATTTTAAAATTGATTACTTAAAATGGAAACACAAAATGCCAAGCAATTTTTTTCTTTACTGGATATATTTTAAATTAAATGCATGTGACCAAACGGAGAAAGACACTTGTTACATGACTAACGTAAACATCATGCTGTTTATTTTAGGTTATACTAGTGTGATGCCGCAGGTACAGATATAAATCTTAGCTGCTGATTAATGCAAGGTTATTACACTTCTTGACCTGCTGAATAGCTGATACTCAGGACTGTGAAAGATCACTTCAGTAAGGTGGTTTTAAGAAAGCTGTGGAAAATGACAACTTATTAAATGCAAACTTAATAAAAGTAGATATTTTTAATAAGTTCAGGAGTATTTTTTAACTAGTTATATATTTATCAAATATTAATACTCATAACTAAAGACAGAAGTTTAGGGGTAGGTTAAATTAAAACCTACATACTAGAGGTCAGGCCACTCTTAAATCTGTATACTATATAAACACAGAATGGATTGTATGTTCATTTTGAGCCTTAACTGCACATTATGAAGTAACATTGGAATAGCTGATAATCTAAAGAAAATTATTTTTCTAGACTCTCCAGATGTATCAACAGGTATTAAAAAGTCCACAAAGAAACAATGCCTGTTCCATTTAATTTATTTTAGAAAATGCCTGTTTCGATGAGGTTCCCGCAATACTCTATTTTTTTAACCTTGCTTATACCCTTTAGTTTAGCTAAAAATACACACCCACACACACCCCCCATATTTTTTTTCTAGGTCATATAAAGCGGGTGTCCAGGATGAGCCAAGGAAGAATCTGACTCTAGTCAGTATGATGACACTGCAGAAACAGCCTACTCAAAGATATATTATTACATATGGCCCATCTTAGGTTTTGCTAGAGCTAGTCAAATATATTTCACCTCCCTCCTTGTTTCATTGAAGGGGACTACATGATCTAGATCTTACAAAATGTCATAAAGTATATAAAATGTACTGCACGTATATGGAAGGTAAGTATGTGTATGTATGTCTGTATGTATTTCTCCACCCCCATACAGCCCTAGGACATATGCATACACATACTTTTGTGGAGGATGACAACCAACAACGTATATGCACACATGGAGCAGGCATCTCTTATTTCAGGATGCATGCACATAGCCCAGAAGGATTCCTTTAAAAAATGCGTAAAGAGTGGAGAAAGAATACGCAACCTCTTCCCACTGAGTCCCTGGTATATGGCACCAAGGAGAATAAGAGCTGCTCATTATTTGTCTCTTCAAAGACACCATGGAATGACAGAGAAAAAACACAGTCACTCCTCATCCCTAACTATCCTTCATAGTTCAGAACTTAGCAGCCACAATGATTTGCAATCAGAGACAAAAGAAAAATGTTAATTAGAGCTGGGGACTGGATGCTGTTGCTGACTTTGGTTGTTTCAGTGCAATAAGCTAAACAGATTCATATTGTTTATCTTATTACTACATAATGGCAGTAACTTAATAGAGTGGACTTTTACTACCCAGAAACCATCTATTTTCTTAATTTGTTTTGTGATAATCACGTTCTTTATTCTGTAATAAAGTCTGAGGGTGTAAAAGTCATCTGAGATCTCACTGCAGATAGTTAACTCTTCAGGTCAGTATGTTACTGAGCTTTCCTTAAAATCTAATAGTTTATTAGGCTCCAACATAACTGAAAACATTGCTGCTGACCTGTTAAGAATATAGAAACAGGAACAAAGCCAGGCAGCAATATCCAAAGTTTGAACTGAGCCCAAGGGCAACAAAAAGACATCACCTTGTACTACGTACATAATCTCTTTTGCTTATGATGCACAGACAGTTAGCTGCAAGGGCTGGCACATTTTCTGCAGTGGAAGAAAGTCTGTCAGCTAAGATCAAGAAGAAATCAAGATAAAGTCATAACCACATTCTTAAAAAAAACAGCCTTGAAAGTGTTCATGTTGTTTATCAGCTCCATGCCATAACTGGTGTCTTGTTTTAAAACCAATGGGAAGTTATCTTACTGAAAGAGAGCTCTTGCAGAATCTTCCCCTGAAAACAGAAGTCACAGCCATTTTTCAATTTAGCTTAAAGAAAAATAACACAACTCTCTACATACTCATAATTATTTCTCCCATACATTTTATACTTGCTCCTGAGGAATCAGTTGTCCACCCATTTCATAAGTGATGGTGGGACAACTACCAGCAGAGGTATGCAATAAGGAAACTTAAGGCACAGTTTCTCCCCTCATCAGATGCAGCTGACATACCTGTCTATCCCATGGGCATCAGACATGACAGCTATCAAAGGGATTTGTTGAAAGACAGTAATGTATCACAGCCACTGTTCATCCTACTAATTCCAACGTGTTTCTTGCTCAGATTTCCCTTTTGTGATACAAGAGCACCCACTCAATGAAAAGGCTTTCCTGAGCATCATGCAGGGGAAAAATACTTGGATTTGGGAGCTGTCAGTTAAGTTAGAAGAGGAGCTAACAGATATTACGAGGAGCCAAGGACCTGCATCTGGTAACACGTGTCTCCAGAGCCTTTCAAAAATTACGAAGACTATAGAGAGTTTTAAGTTTTTTGGCTGCTTTAACCACACATGTTCAGCTGTGGGTGTTTAGAGAAACTCTACTTTCACAGCAGAAGAAATAAAATAAAAGTTCCCAAACAATTAAACTACTATCAAAAACCACACTCTCTAATCCTAAACTGTCATTTAGAGGATGTACATCAACACAGTGAATTCCATTTAAATAAACAGAGGTTTAAAGTCTTTTGTAAAAGAGTAGTTAACAAAAATAACATGCCTAACTTTCACAAAGTACATTGGTAAGGAAGAGGGAAAATCCCAGGCAGCTTTGGAAATATCCTTTTTCTGCTAACCTCTAAGAATACAAAGTAAGCGCGAAAGCCTTGCAAGAGCTAAAGGCACATCTCAGATTCTGCAATACACACTGCATATGTGAAACAGTAATTGTTTTGAGATTTCAGACATATACTGTGCTGTCATTTGAAAAAAGTGATGGATGAGAAACTGGAAACCTCAAGGAATTAGTAATAGGATATAAAGCATTTCACCTCTAGGTCACCAGTTCAAATTCAACCAGGTTGGTAGTGACCAAAAGTAGTTACCATCTGGCAGCTGTTCTCTGGCTGATGTAAATTGAGTGGAGGGTCTCAGTGCATTTCCTAGTGGACAGGTGTCCTCAGCACAAAAAACACCATAATTAACTCTCTGTTTGGCTTTCTCAGCAAAGCCACTGAACAACGAATGGAAGTAAAGACTGAGCTATATTCCAGGTCAGCATGAAAGCATGTTGGCTGCAGAGCACTGCAGATTCTTAATCATAATTCCTCTTTATATTTTAAGACACGCAGATTAGGGAGGGACTTAATTTATCATCATTACATTAAATGGAGTAGCCTTTCCAACTCAAGAAAAATCTTATGTGCTGCTGTTTCTGCTCAATGCAGATTTCTTTTCAACATGCAGCTACAGTAGAATTTGGAAGCACAATAAAAGAAAGCAAAATAAAATACTATTATTAAAATTAATGGGATTATATACCCTAAACACTTACCTCTATCTCAAAAAAAACATACTTATTACAGAGGACTCAGACACAGAAAACAAACTGGGTTTGGACTATTGGATATAAACTGTAGGTTGAGATTATCCAATTTTGGAAATAAGAGGAGAATTACTGTAAAAAAAAAAAAAAAAAAAAAAAAAAAAAAAAATGATGGCTTCCTTTAGATCAACATGAACCACAACCACAAAGGGGGTTTTGGGGAAAGAATAGCACCCACAGTTATAATAGCTTTAAAGTGGACCTCTTGCATCCAGAATTTCTGACCCATGACTCTCTTAAGAAACAAAAAAGACAAAGCTGCAGGCAGAACTGTGTGTGACCAAGGCTTCAAAATATTATGCACAAAAAAAACACTGGAAAAAAATATTCCCCTATACAGATTTTTTTCTCAACAGGAACTGGAACATGTATTGAGTCTACTTATGGCCCACCCATGCTTTGCACAAGACATGGGACCAGTTGTGTATGGTATGACCTGCTGATAGGCATCACCTAAACCACTTGTTGCCATAATTTGTTTAGCTCTATTATATCTGAAATTGTTAAAACAGGTATAGTTGTTTGGTATCTGCTCTCATTTTGGTGTTTCTGGAAGAAAGGCAACTAGAACAGAATTGAAGTATACTGTATCATCAGCCTTTCAACACAAAAAGGCGCTTCTTGAACGTCAGTGGCTTGTAAGACCGAGTCAAGGGCTACTGGTGTTAAACAGTGAAGAAAGTGAAAACTGTTGTTCCAGAAAAGAGCCCTATACCACCTCAGGAAAAATACAGCCAGAGCTCATAGGTGGCTGGAACATGGCATTTCAGGCTGAAGAGTTTGACGCGGTTTAAGCGGTAGCTGACTTTGGAATGTTCTGAGCACGCCTTCAGATAATGTTAACTTTAAATATACTTGCTGAATACTCATGTAAATTATTTCCATTTGGCTGTCTCATTATTCAATATGCTTTCAAGGAACATGGTGATGAAAGAAGAAAAATACCTCTTTCTAACATAACCATACTGGCAAGAGGATCAACATTATCAGTATTCAAAGAATGTCTTGGCAGGATAAACCTTCATAAAAAGAAGGAGCACTAGCTAATCCAAGTTGTCAAAATAGCAATAGTACTTCAAGGCTTGATCTGCAAAGTGATTCATTATTTATTGCTAATGCAAACAAAACATTCTAAGCAGAAAGCGCAATTAAGTATTTCCTATTTACAATAAACAAACTCTAGGATGACTGATAAAAGGATATCTATTTTCTTACTTACTAAAAAACAACCTAAAGGTAGGAAGACCATTGTGGTTCTTCACAGAAATCAGATGCTTAATGGTAATATTTTACAAACTAACACAGTTAAGAAATGTGGCAAAACAACAGGAAAAATTTCTGAAAATTTCATTCAGAAACAGAAGACATAGACCTTTAAAAAACAAACAGTGGAAAGAGAAAGAGAGCATGCAATGTAGTGTGCATCCTAAAAACATATATATATATTCAACAGCTCAGTAAGAGGCCTGACTTGCCAAAATAAGTTTGTGCTAAATCAATTAGGCAACCATTTTCAGATGCCTACACTCAGACACTTCTAAGAACATTTCAGCCTCCTTATATTTTTCCTCAGTAAAGCTAGGGCTATGCTTTCTTCCATTCTTCTTTAATTACTTATAAAATACAGGACTTTAAAGACTGTTTTTGTGGGGGGTTTATTTGTGGTTTCTTTTTAATGTATTGGTTTTGTCATCTATTTTTAAGATTTCTTTGAAAACTTTCATTTACACTTCTTTCACTTACCACCCTTTACATTCTTTTGACCCATCTTTCCTTGTCCTCTTCTGTAATACCTCATCTCTGTTACCTTCTTGCTCTTTTAAGCCTTGGAACCTGATCTTACTCCTGACGTGTATCTTCTTCCATTGCAACAGAAAGTATTGGCTCAGCCTCAAGAATTTGGGATTCTAGGAACTCCTCTGAATAATTGCACATACAATTTTTTAAAACTAATATATAATGAGTTACATGAAAAACAAAGCCATTCTAAGAAGTTGAATCTCCTAGTACATTTCAAATAGAAATAACCAGCACAAAAAAAAAAAAAAAAAAAAAAAAAAAAAAAAACTGATATACTGTAGAATCACTATTGGAAAAAAACATTCTGATCTGAATCAGTAATTTTAATGACAATAATACTTAGCATACAAAGTAAAAAGAGCTAATGAATATTCACGTTCTGTGATATTATGGTGAAACAGAAGCACACAGACCTGCTGAAAGTTGTTATGCATTGGAATTTCAGAATTTCAAATTTCCTAAAAGGTATGATGCAGTAGGCAATTTATTTTTCAAGGAATGACAACAGCAGTAGAAACACAGGTATCTGCATTCAAAGTTTTTTAACATTTTCAGACTATTTCAAACCATTTACACATGCACAAAGACAGACTATACCTTCTGCATGATTTCTTAAGACTTTAAGTCTCCCTGCTCAGCAACAGCTACTGAGCGACCTCTCGTGTTGAAACATTGGAGCAGCTTTCTTTTTTTCTAAATAAGTTAAATGAACATAAGGTTGGCAGTGCATAAGATCCTCAAAAATCAGCACCATCTCTGTCGTTATGATGAATAATTCTGCCCTGTAGATAGCATTTGTACTGATTATTTTACCTATTCAAATTGTGTATTGAAGACTCTACCTCTGAAGCTAATACGATGGTTAGTCAAAATCAACATGCAATAGTTACTTATCCCACTGCTCTCCACACCATTTTTTCAGTAAGTATTGTGAAAAAGACATGTGATCAACTTCTGGCACATTACTGCCATTGTATTAAAACAAGCAGACAAAAAAGAAAACCAAGATATGTTATAGTCTATTCAAAGGGGATGAAATCAAAATATTATTAAAAAATATATTTTGCAACTCAGAGAAAAAAAAACGACCAATAAAAGAAAAAATTAGTTTTATTAACCAAAATTTAAGACCAATACTGTGAACCACTGCTAGATATGTCAAGGAGATTAACACAATCTAAGAAGTTCACACCCCTGGGATCTCTGGTTTCAAACTTTCTGTAGTCCCAATGAAATAAGACTGAGAGTAGCTACACTTTCTCAACTTTGGAATACTAAATTCTGTAGTCACAAGGTTGGCTTTTTTTTTTTTCCCAGGGTATCTACACTTTGATATTTAGACATACATAAATATAATCAGACCATGTTACAAAGTTCCAGAAAAGGATGGGCAATCTCTTTTAATTTCAAGAAAGCACAATGTCATTCATCATTCCCATTGAAAAGGAACTGAAGTGTGACTGCTTGGTTAGTAGAATACCGGATCAAAATTGATCCACGAGCAGGCCAAATAGCAAGATCAACAAACAAAATTATTTTAGAACAGAAAAAGAATTGCTGAAGGATCTGGCCACGAGATGTCACTCTCTACTTTGTGGCAACTTGGAAATTCATTAGCATAGCTTTCCTCTCAGAGGTGTCAAAAGCAGGAGTACAGCCAATAACGTAGCTACGTTAAATTGGGGTCAGGTAAAGAACTGCTCAAGGTATAATTTCTGTAGCTGTGATGTATAATTACTGTTCAGTATGCTGTGAAGTCAAAGTAGCCTGCAAGCAGCCTCTGAACCTGTTCCCTCACAAAACAAAAAACTACTAGCTCAACTAAAACCTGTTATAACATACATTACTCTTCCTTACATCAACATAGTAAATTGTTTTTAATTTTTTAGCCTTTTTAAACAAAACCATCATTATGTATTGAGCTCTAAGGACTAATCATACAGCAAGCTATCTGTATGTGCTATAGTCTGTCCAGATAGCCTAACCAGCCAAGTTTTGATTTTTTTCAGTTGCCTAAGGTTAAACTTGATCAGGCCCCCTGGCCTAGTAAGATCTCACTTCTTTGTTCTGCAGAACACCACCACCATCTTTACTAACCACTAGCATATAAAATCATTCTTATACCACTAGCATGTAAAATAATTTTTACACTTCATATATCTAACCAGGCATCTCCTGAGTCTCCGTTTTAGAAGTTTAGGCTCAAAATCTGTAACCATCATAAATACACATCTACAAAGGGAAGAAAGAAATGGAAGTCCAAAACAAACCTATGCTGAAAGAAAATTTCTAGGAATTAAAAACTTTACATAAGTACTAGATGAACTGCACAAATTCACCAGAAACTGATCCTTAAGATAGCTGATAGAGAACTCAGTATTACCTTATTATGTGTTAAGGTTATCCTCAGGTCTGGTTTTATGATACCATATGTTACCAGTAGATCTTGAACTTTTTTCAGTTCTTCTTTACATTTTCTATTTGTTGAGTAAAACTGCTTTCTTACAGGAAGGTTCTTAAACAGCTTTAGGACTGTTACTGTAGTACCTGTAAGCAGGTGACAAAAAATAAAGTAGAAATTACACTGAAAGCATACCACTGACTGGATGTTGGGAAAACTCCAATTTTACTTGAAGAGACCTGTCTGTATGCTGCTGCATACAAAATAAACCCTAGTAACACTAAATTAGATTGTATTAGCATGAGAAGAAATGTATCCAATCAGTAGTCACCCTCCCCAAAACAGTACCTATAGACCTCAAGAGTCGCAACTCCCCTCCTTTAGGGTTATGATTGCAGCATTAAGCTTTATTTTGTACGCACTGACAATAGCGAGAATCAGCACTGAATAAAGCTGAAGACTCTTTCAGTGCATATTAAGTTAACTCTCATTAGTAAACTGATTAACAGACTAGAATCTAATCAGACATATTTGGATGCAAAGGAACACTGTGCTCCATTAAGGCCCTTCACAAGCATTTGCTTTAAGGTAGTTACCTCAAGAGCCAAATACCTCTCTTTAAGACACAGTACACAGCAAGAGGAGGAATATCCATTTACCAACATAATCACATAAATTCCTAGCCCATAAGGATATTGCAAAGTATTAAATATATGTCACAGAATTCAGTCAATCATTCAACTATTTTGACAAAAGACAAGGCAATGCAACCCACAGGCTTTCCAGTTGTGGAAAATACAACAGTCTAATCTTTAGAGTTCCTGGTTAAAATTAGCTAAAATTAAGAGTTCTCAGCTTCATCTCTTTCTTCAGTTTTTGCTCACTGACTAGCCCTCAGCAGCTTCTTCTGGCTTAATGACTCGTTTGGCTAGTTAGCGCTGAGGAGGGAGCAGGTGAGCAGGCAGCTCCTGTTGGTGTACGGAGCACTGCAGCCAGCTGGAGGACAGCTTGCGGGTACAATATTGACAAGCAGCCGCTGCAGTACAGCTGGGAAAAGCTGAGCTTTATAGAAAAGCTGCAACTGCTTCCTCAGGAGCACACCCTTGTCAGGAGAAATGTGCACACCTCTTCCAGGAATACACATCAGCTTGGGGCATGTATGTCAGGACACAGCATGGTCTTAACCATCCTCGCTGAGCAGAGCATGAAGCACAGCAGATGCTACCCCAAACCTACACCATGTCTGAACCACTAAGGCTGCCTCTGAGGTGAGGGCAACCTTTAATCTTTCACACAAGCACACAGAAGAATTTCTAGTGACACACCCTTCCTGCAGGTTAGAAAGAACAGTGACTTGGCCTGGTCCTGCAGCCATGCTGTTTACAGCAACTCCTTCATATAGCACCAGGGCAACTCTTCCTGCTTTAAGCAAGGATTCTGCTATGTACAGAAACATTATTTTGGTCCTGAACAAATCTTTTGTATACTTATATAGTAAGTCTGTCTGGACCTGGGGCATTGAAATTTTATAGCTTTTATTTCTGCTGTCAGCTTGAGCAAGTGAGTCACACCAGTTTATAATTACTATCTAAAGCAACTTCCAAAGCATATTACTGCTTACAATAACAACAGCACATTCTCAGTTGACAGATATAAGGCAAGAAATGTTTACAGCTGCAAAGATTTCATACTCAGCCTTCAAGTAGAGAACAGGTATTTCAACATCAAATAGAGCCTCAGAGAAATATAAAATACTTCTGTCACAGTGATATCACTCAATGATATCTTACCTTGTCCAAGATGGGAAGGCTTTTTAGAAGTTATATGGCCATGGCTATCCAAAGCATACTGAGTGCTGAAATCATCATCAGCTGTCTTCGTTGTGATCAAAACCTGAAAAGAGTGGTTTAAAAAGAAAATTATGTTAATCAAGGATTTGCAAAGTTCAGAATGAGCTTAGATAAGCTTTGCTACCACTCTCACTGTTGTGTTATTTTAGTCACCACAATTACATGTAATTAGTTTATAAAATCTTTCTTCTATAGGTGTTTCTTACAGTCACAGAAACATTCTGCATTATTACTAATTTTTCCATCCATTTAACTAAAAGCCATGCATTTCTATCACACTAATACACAAAGCATAGCAATCCCCACTACCTAAAAGACCCACCCCCCCACCCCTGTATCTTCTAACCCAAGTTAAATAAAAACTAAATCAATCAATAATTTTGCATTTTCATCCTTCACAAAAGGCAGCATACTACGACAACTTCTTAAATTCATGTGAGATTCCACAAACATAACAAGTACTATCAAACAAACAGTGTATATCTTCCCACACCCAAACATATCTAGCAATCAGTAGTAGCATGTTTTGTAAGCTATTAAGGTAATACATAGATTTGCTTTAGCAAGACCAGTCATAAACCAGAAGTTCAATAAAACTACAGGTCCCTGAGTTCAGGTATCAACATTTTGAATAATTGAACCACTGCACTTTAACCACCTGAAAGATATAAAGATTATCACACATACAGAGCTTCAGGATATTTTGGTTTATTTTAGTGTCTCACATGAATCATTCACAGTTCAGCCATGCCTCTAGAGAGAAAAAAACAGTAATAGATTAATTGTAAATGACAGTATTACAGACCTACTTAAGGGCCAATAGTAAAGTACCTCTTAACTAAAACTTTAGGGGGCAGTTTGGGTAGGCAGAATGCAATTTAATTAACATAATTACTGATCCAAGGATTAAAGTAATACCTAGTAAAGTACTTCATACACTCAGGCCACCTCCCATCTCTTATGAAACGTACCACAGAGCTGATTAAAAGCTCAGAACAGATGGCATCCTGCTTTGACAACTCATTAGAAGGAATCAGTGATTGATGTCTGTCATCATCTGTCAAAACACTTTTGAAAGCATCTTTGGAAATCTCCATCCAAACACACAACCCACTCCTGCTTAGTGCAATGTGAATATAGCCCAAGGCAGCAAGAAGTCAAGCTCTACCATCTCTCCTGACTTCGACAGTTAATGGTTCCAATTTGACACAGGTATTGGTGTCTTCTTGAAGGTTCTAATACTTGGCAGACTTAGAAAGAAGAACTTGAAAGAAAACTTGACAATGGCACAGCATAAATACAGAAAGGCACAGCAAAATGGAACAGATAGATGATGTGCCCTTAACAGCCTGAACAGTTTTCAAATGGTTTTGAACAAACTTACTTACTTTCAGTCAACAAGTTAAATCCTAAATATCAGTACACTGTCAGTCCTCTTAACACAAACACATGGATCAGACTCAGATAGGCCAGGGAGCAGGTTCCTGTTTACTCATATGGACAACACAGCTTGTGCAACTGCAGTCACATACATGTCAAGGAGCAATCTGAAGCCCAGCAAGATCCCATGACTGCCCCCACCTAGAGATCATCAAAGCAGAAATTACTGGAATGGAGGCTATGTGGGCCATCAGTTCCCTGAAAGGATTTCTCCTGGCCACCACCTGCTATTCCTCATTTTGATTTTCGCTAATTCAAGTAGCAAACTCAGCCATACTTTTTGATGTTGTATTTAATGATAATATGAAAGAAGATAAGCCAGTGTTCTAATGAATCATGTATCTGTACATGTATGTGTAAGGAATCATGCATCTATACCCTGATTCGATAGAAAAGGAAACACCAAGCAATATGTCTCTGACTTATTCTGACTGAGGAAAATAAAGAAAGCATTACTGTGACTAGGATGACAGAAAGGCAGGACTGACACTAATAAGAAGGACATACTGCTTCCTAACCGTATGACATGACTTCTGGGGAGGAGGGTGGAAACGCAGCCTACACAAACCAAACTTCAGAAAACATATCTCTGGCAGGCTGCTGGAAAAATTTAAAGTTTTTGCATTGATATTTTAATATAACTTTCACAAACACACACACACAAAAAAAAAATCACAAAACAAAAGACTAGACATATTTATAGCTACTGCTCACCTCTGATATGCAGCAAATAGAACCCAAAGCTTCCCCACGGAAACCATACGTCGTCAACCTTTCGAGGTCCTCAGAAGAGCTTATTTTTGAGGTGTAGTGTTTAATTGCCATAACTGGAACATCAGCAACCTTGATTCCATTGCCATTGTCTCTTACTTCTATTTTGTTAAACCCATAATTCTCCTAAAAAAGAACAAAACATAACAGAGCACTAAAACAGCTGAGTAAATTAAGACACAAGTCTGAAGCAGCTAAGGTTACAGCTTCTAGCCATCGAGATAGAAGTGTGAGTTTTGCTTATTTGGAGAAACTGAGCAACCATTAAATGTCTCTGTTTTATTTAAACAAACTAAAACCCAACTAACATATTAGGAGAGAAGTGGTGGTTTCTCTAATTAAATAACGTAATTCATACCCTGTGGTTAGGAAACAGCACGTTAATATAAATACAGTAAAATTAAAATGGGAATTAAGTACATTTTTTAAAAACTGTGATCAAATTTTCAAAACCTAAGCTCAGAAAGAGATCTATAGCTGGAAGGCTAAAGACTTTTTCATCTCTTTTCAGCTCTCTTATCTATTTGCTATCAGTTTTTTTGAAATCACCCTGCATCCAGTAAAGTCAGAGAGTCCTCACTTACAACGGTCTTCAATTTCAGTCTTGCTTTATGTGATTTCACTACTTCAGTAGTTTTACAGTGTCTATATTGTGTCCCAATATACAGAAGCTGAAATTGTAATGGGGGCAAGGCACAAAGGAGGCCAAAAATAAGAAACCTTGCTTACAAGGTACCATACTTTACATAAAGAAGGTTCCTAGACACTCTTTTAAAAAACAGCTTTCAAGGAAGCAAAGTTCAACCTTTGTGATTTACATATATGCAGTACATATTTTACTGAATTCTAATTTAAATATGTCATTTCAACAAGCACCAAGATCAAGAGGGTAAAACTCTGAAAACCCAGATAATTAGGACAGCTAAAGGAAAGACAGAATTCAGGTTCTACAGCATCTCAAACAGGTGCAGCAACAGAATACTTCCTTCCAGCTACATTATAACCTGCATATGTAAATCGCACCCAAGAGAATCACAAGCCAGGAGGAGAAAGTAATTAGAGCTGCAGGATCACTAACTAAACTTCTTTTACAGAAGCATGCCTGGCCCTTTGAAAAGATTATGATGTAACAAACAGAAAAATGTGCTGTAGTGTGCAATACATCTAGGCGACCTTAAAACTGGTTTTGCTTAGAATATCTCAAAGGAGTGGCTACTACCACTGATGCTGTACTGAGCATGTGATCATTGCTCACGGAAAGCTGATTAAACAGAACTTTGTTGTCAACAGTTACAAAAAAATATAATATATTCTTAGGGTTATTTCTCACAGTAAAACACTAATGCAGTTAAAAACAAAAGGAAGGTATCTAAAGATACTATCTGTATTCACACATAATCTGCATTAGGAAACATCAAAAGCCTCTGAGGTAGACACAGAACTATATATATTTAATTAACTAATACATAATAGAACTGTGGGTATATTTCACTTTCTGTATTAATGAATGGTGCTAAAGCTAAAGTTTTCTCCAGGTGAAAAATAATGCTTTTGCTAATGCTTGAGCCAACCACCTACTGGGAAGCAAAACAGAACCTAAGAAATATACCTCAATGGAACATAAAAAACACATAAAAGATATAAATGGGAAATCTTCTACCCTGCTGCTGTATGCACTAATGAAGGGTTTAAACATTTTACAACAAACTCCTGTTTTCCACTCTAATTTTTACTTCCAGCCCACTTAACTGCTTAGGAAAAGAGAGATTTATCTTCTCTTCAACTTGAATCAAAATGTTACATGAATGATTCTCTATTTCTTTTCTAATATTATTCATTTTTACATGTACACATTTTACTTAAAATATTGCAGTGCTTAAACTTCGTATTCTGTAACAGATTCCACAATGCTACGTGACCTAAATACTTCTGAGGTCATGATCCCATGAGATGTTTAAGCTGCTCTATCAGATCACTGATGTCAACCATATGGTTCAACTCCTCCTTCTTTTACTCATGACTGCACAGTCCCATCTATGTATGTTTCAGCTACAGTTCCGTTACTCATGAGAACGCTAAGGTCAATTCAGCTTATTAAACTGACACAAATAATGCACTTTTCTTGCTGGGTTACTTTTCTTTTACATTAGCAAGATGAATGGATCATCAGAGGCCAAAATGTCTAGAAATGCTCTGCAGATGGATGTGAGACTTCACTCTCCAGGTGATGAGAAGGATCAGGTGTACAGCAGAACCTCACCCTGAGCTAAACTTCCTCTGAGAATGTCCCAAGGATTAAAGCTCCCACTTCATGCATTGGAACAAAAAGGGTGCAGAAATGAGTGTCTGACGTTTACAACAGCCATTTCATATAAGAGTAGCAAACCTGTAGCTAAGATCTGTCCTAGATAGAGAGTGCAAAGACACTCAATAACATCACCTATTGGAGTCTGGTCATCCAAGAAGTTAACAAGCATAAAACACTAGCCAAAGCTTCCCACTACAACTGACCACTGCCACAGTTTCTACCTGAAAGTTCACTCCTGTCTGTCTGTCTCAAAAAAAGCCATTCCTGTCTTTGTTCAAGCAAACTGGGTAACAAGGCTGAATGAAACAGCTAGCCTTCCTAATCCATCTGGAAAGGTTAAAACAATGAAACTGCTGCAAGTTTCAGGTAAAACACATCAAGCTGTAAAATGAAATTTCAAAGATTCCGTTCTCTCTTATGCTTTTGAACTAATCCAGAGTTAATGTGGTCATTGAGCTCTACTATGTGGTCAACCTTAATTAAATTTCATACAATAAAAATAGTAGTTTGATATAAAAATATTCTTATCACAAAAAAATCCCAGGAAAAAAAAATCCACTGTTTTATAATATTATTCTCTACAGTTGTGCAAAGTGCAGGTTTTCTCTTCTCCCTTAGTACTCACAGAAGAACAATCAGCAAATGTTTACTCACTGACAACCTGCGCAAAGCCAGGTTGGTTTGTTTCTTTTAGAAATACAGTGATTTGGATTGGGCTGAACTGACAAAGAATGTAACAGTAGTGCAGATGACTCATGCACTGGGAAGGGTTGAAAATGCTTTTTAATTGATTTGGGACCTCTCACTATGGAAACAGCTGGTTATTGCACTGTGAAACCCATGCTGATTAGAGGGCTTTCTCCTCTGGCTGTCTGCACAGCTCTGTATCAGCACTCCAGTAAAAGAGACGAGGTCTGTTGTAACAATTTTTGAAGGCTCCAAAACCTTCTGTTACTTCTTGCAGTTATTGATCAGCTCACAGGATCTGATTCTGATACCCTTACACCCAGAACTGTGCACACTGTACTTACTTTGGAGTTACTCATGAAGCAAAATACTATGCAGTCTAAATACTGAGAAGATAGAGGTCCTCATAGACCATAGTGAAGATAGAGCATCTTCAGCTCACTTAAGGCAAGTAACAAATCCACATGTTCCTTGGCATCTCCAGGAAACCATACTCAGATGGAAAACACTTAAAACTCATTCAGAAAAGAGAGCAGTGACATGGACAAAGAAACAAACAGAAACTGAATTGCCCTCTTAATCAAGAGCATTTGTCTAGCACTTAATTCAAGAATAGCTTTCACTGTTATATCTGCAGGAAAGGAAACTGGATGCAATTCTGTATGCATCTGTCTATATAGGCTGTAAAAACACACTTTGTTACTAAGTAAGAGATACTGCAACCATGCAGCTGTTGACAAAATACTGCAAAACCAGGAATACTCATAGCAGCAAGAGAAGCTGATCAGTCAGCCATTTTACCCAATTTGGGAAAAAAGTACAAGTTTTATAAGCAGTATTTTATTTTTTTCAGAAATTATCCTTCAGTGATATGCCATCTTTTTTTTTTAGCATCTTATAAAAATAAAATGTTAGAAGTAGCCAGAGCTCACCGTGCTAATCAGGGACCATGTAGTAACATATTACAAAAACATCTAGCATGGCCATCGACCTTTTCCATTGCTTCCATTTTCACCTTCCTGACAATATTTTGTAATGAGCATTAAATACGCTAGTCTAGCAGTGGAACTTAAGTCCAACATCTTTTAAAACAAACTATTAGTCAGAAAAAGTAATCTGTAAAGAAGCAAAAAGTATTAAAGAAGTTGACAGTTTTTCCCCACAATATACTCAGGAGCATAAATATGCCTTACTGTTTGTTTCAGTGGAGCCTGAAACACATTAAACAGTTTTGGAACATTTTTATTTGAGGTTAAAATATATATCTATAAATATTATTAATACTCTTCTACTCCCCCAAACCACAATAGCCTAAAAAATACATTTGCAGTGGAACAACTTTCCTTGCATCTTATTTTATGTCCAACTCTTTGTAAGAGAAAGAAGACTTACCAGTTTAATATCAATATTTGTAGCACTGGCATCCAAGGAATTTTCTATCAACTCCTTCACCACGCTGACAACTGACGTAATCACCTGAGAACTTGAAAGGAGACGAATAGTCTCTGCTGACAGCTGTTTCATAGTGGAATAAGTTTCAGAGAAGCTGCATAGAAAGATAACAGAAAAAGAATGTAAGGCACACTACAAATACACATTTCTAAATAATTGTTCCACAGCAACTTTTAAATGTAAGTCAAACATAACATTACAGCTGAAGAGTAAAATTTTTAATATACAGTAGGATCTGCAGTCAATGGGAGTTCGATTTGCGGAAGAAAGAGAACACAGGTCTAGACTAGAAAACACTAAGTACATTAAACTTCTAATGAAAAACTGTTAAGAATTCAGAGATATACTCAGCAAAGCCGTGTATTATCTCACATTTATATAGTCATCTCCTCTAAATTACTACATGTGGCTGTGGATCTTGCAAATACAACAGAGCAGACAAACCAGACAGTAACACGGAGTGCTAGTCAGAAACATCTTCAGCAAGGATATTTACCCAGCGCCAGGCCTAATTCCAGTATTGATGAAAAAAACCCAGAACTTTTAAATCCTTTATTAATTTTATTTTACTTCTAAAAACTCCTCACATCATTTTCTCCCCCTACATTTAAAATTTCTGAGCTCAGCATTGCTGTGTTGTGTGTATAATTCCCAGTACCTAAAAATTCATGGAAGAAATATGACCTGAAGGTAACTGTTTTGGAGTTGAGAAAGAAGGAGGAAGCACAACAGTGCTGAGGCTAAAGTCATATTCAATGGCAATGTGATCTACTGGCAATAATGAAAACCAAAACAAAATAAACCCAAAAAACTTCTGAATTATAAACCTTGCCCTTCTGATCTGAATTACCGTGCCCTCGGGCAGGTCAGTTTACTTCTGTATCTTCCACTTGAAAATGGAGATGCTTCATATTATAAGCAAATAGAGTTGTTTGGGGTTTTTTATCCCTGAAAATACTTACAAAGGATTGTATGATTCCTGCTGCATTACAGAGACACTACCACAAAGAGATTGTAAGTGGATCTGAAATTTTTTGCATGCCTTACTGCTTCAGTAGGCACAATTAATCAAACTCCAGGAAAAATCTTTGTCGATCCTTGTAGCCTAATATAAAGAACTCAAACACAGTTTTTCAAGCATATTGAGAAGGGGTGAGAAACAGCATTGCTAGACGGTTCTTTGCACCTTAAGAATGGTTCAGACTTGGGCTTCTCTCCACAGCAAGACTCTTTATTGATATGTTACATAATATTATTTGCATTGAAAGGCAAACAATCCTGGCAGTTCTGGCTTCTCCATCGATTCAGCCCAAGTATCTGCTGGAAAACACAGACCGCACACTCAGCACCTGTCCCAAGGGTATGAGCATGTGTGGAGGAACGGAGCAAACCCAGATTTCCTCCTGACACAGTCAGGACACAGCAAGGGACTGCAGCCAACACCCCAGAACACTGCTATCCTGTAGGCTATATTCAGCTGATACCACAATTACAGGACACTTCTCTGCCTCGATATCCTTCTAAAGACTGCCTCTCTTTAAACATAAAAGACAAAGCAAAAACACAGTTAGTTGGGGAGTGAAGAGGAAGCAGCATTAAAACTTTTCTAACAGCTACAAAGCTGTTATTTATATTCCGAAGGGAGTTTGCCTTTCAGGTGTGGTATAAAGATCTGACAAATCAGTTTTCCACCAAACAAACTGGAGGAGCACGGGAAGACGCGTGTTGTTGCCGACAGACCAATATTAATCACGTACACGTGTTCAGAGAGGCAGGTTTCCTCATGCATTCACGCGTTATACAGGGCTCCCGCGTCAAGTGCTTCATCATTTACTAATGACGAGTGCTAGATCGGAGCTGGGTTATCTTTATGAAAAGACACTGACTGAGACAAGGGAGGGTCTTAAAAAAGAAACGTTGCAGATCTCAAAGACAAATTTTCGAGGAGATGTGACTGATGCAGGCGGTGTGGGAGAGGAGGCAGGTACCGGGGTGCCTTCCCCTGTCCTGGACCCGACCACCCCGCGCAGGGCTGCCCCACTACCACTCTACCGCTGTAGCTCTTCGCTGACTGAATATATTATAATCCGCACTCAGGAAGAAGCCACAGTGTTTTCTGTGTCTGAGCACCATCACTGCTGCAATCCTTTCACCTCTCTCAATGAAGTCAGTCACCCCAGCAGCGGGGGTCTCCTACAGCGGTGCTACTGCGCGCCACCGGGAAAAGCGCCCGCCAACGAAACTCCTTAAACTTCATGGCTGCAGCCTCACAGATTTCTGGAACAGCACCCAAACCCCCCTTCAACCTTTCTTCGGAGTCCGCCACAACACGTACTCAGGTTATTCTTCAGTTTATGAGAGGGGAAAAAAAAAAAAAAAAAAAA